ATGGTTGTATTGCCTATGGTAAAGCAAGTGATACTCAACTGAAGAAACTCGGCGTTCTACATATGAAAGCTATACGTATTGCCACCAGGGCAGCTGTGGGTACGAAGAATGAGGTGCTACTTCAGGAGGTGGGAGAGAAACCCCTCTCTCTTCGGAGGGAGGAGCTATCTCTCAAATTCTGGGGGAAACTTCAGTATTTGTCCGAAAGCTGTCCAACGTATTCCAGCATCAGAAGATTTACTCGTGTCGGAAATAACCAGAAGAATCGGAGTATTTCTTACGGGCAAGCGGTCACTGATCTATTGACAGAGCATCAGCTCGATCAAGTAACGATCCTTGAACGACGACTATCGGCTACTCCGTTTTGGAAGGTTACCAACCCGACAGTCAACACCCAGCTGATCCAGAGTACCAACAAGCACGAGAACCCAGTGGGAGCAAGAGCTCGCGCTCCTGATCTCATTGATTCCGTGTACCCCGACCAGATTCCGGACCAACAACATACTACGAGACCATCAGTTCAACGCGATTAAATGTCGCTGCGGCCACGTTGCCACAAGGTCGCATGTCCTCATTCAATGCACTGAACTGAAACCCACTCGTAAGCCACTGCTAGAGTACCTGGAAACCAACGGCATACCACTCACCATACAGAATGTTTTGGCTCCACCCACGGACCACTGGCATACAATAATGGAACTAGTCTTCCATTTTATAACCAAATCTGTCTTGAACAGATAGGCTAAGTTTTTATACTCAAAGTTTCTTAACACTTTTTAATTATATCCAATCAATTTAACAAGTCTCATTGCAGAAACATTAGAGAACATCTCTCCCCCTTTTGTGAAAGCTCCAACAGATAACAGATAATCTATCCAAACCAAACCAAACCAAACCAAACCAACGACTACCATTCGACTACCAATCAACAAGAAATACCATGATCAGAACGAGTTTGGAAGAATGAAGGATACCGAGTAACTCGCGCCACACCATCCAAAGCCGAGTTTCAACGCCATGTCATTCGACCCGACCAGATCTAACGAAGAATCAAAAACCAAACCAACAACACCGAATCATCCAATTTGATCCAATCCAACTATCAACTACTACGACTACCAACAACTACCTAGTTTGCGATGTCAGCATCCGCTGGAAGCGAACGTTAACTTGTCATCTACCAACCAACCAACCCCTATTCGTGATACGATGATGATTAGGACTTCTACAAAACTATTAGTTATTTCCCCTGCCCTGTGCTTTATTTCCAGCAGAAATAGAAAAATTAAACGATCATATCACTTATGCATAAAGAAAGCTATAAGGAGCACTTAAAGGAAATTCCTCAAATTGAATTAAACGCACTACTTCACCCAGATTCACTCGAAGTTGCAATCAAAATTAACAGAATGACGAGAAAATTTAAATAAATATATTTATAATTATTACGTATTTTTTATACGCCCATATAAATTGGGGGTCGTATATTGGCCGTATCCATGTTCGTTCGTCAGTTTGTCTCTCCGTCCGTCCACAATTGCTCGTAAACACTCTAGAAGGCACAATTCTTTGGTATGAGGATTTGTAATCACCCCAGGATGAACCCTATTGAAATTCAGACAAACATGAAAAAAAAGAAAAATATTTAATATGAGTTATTGCCCTTGTTTTTAATCAACCAAGGTATCAAAAATCAAAAAAATATTACATGAGTTATTGCCCTTGAAAACCCGTTCAATTTTTATTTTCATTTTGGCGAAACTTCATTAATTGCATGTTTATTATCACCCATAGATGATATTGAAAATCCAAATATTGAGAACTATTTTATATGAGTTATTGACCTCAGACTTGAAATTGCATTCAATTTGTAGCTCGTTAACACTTAAAGGCATGATTCTTGAGGGATTTTGACATCATTTAGTGCAGTATCACCCTTAAAGTTCAAAAGTGTATGACTGAAGGTTGAAGATTTCATACTGTCACTGAATTGCCAAATAAAAAAATAATAATAAAATTTTAAAATAAAAGCTGCCAGTGGGCGTATATTTCCTGTCTGGCAAGCTATCTTTTCATAATTTTAAATATGAAAATTTGTTCTTCCTCTCTGTACAATACCTCGATTTTTAACATTGATTTGAATATTATCTTAAAACTTTAATACTAGCAGTATATATGCCTTATAGATTTATAAGGGACAGTTTAGTTAACCAGTAATAGTGTTCACAGCTCACAGTCAGCCTTCAAAACCATGTGTCAAGAATTACCCGAGGTTGAATGTTAAAATTACGACTCAGAAAACGGCAAAACTATCACTAGATCTTGCCTTAATAGAAATTTAAATCTATAGTCGATTTCGTTTTTTTTTTTTTTTTATTATAACTCTATGGTTCCGATTCATAACACTAGTGTTAAAACGGGGTCATCTCACACTTCAGTAGAGTTGTAAAGGTCAAGATCAAACGGGGTCAACGAAGATGCGCAGTGAGTCCAAATAGTCAGGCAATATGGCGTCTTATAATCGATAGAAACGCCATAGTATGGTAAACTTTTTACGACATTATAGGTGAAATACCAGGTAAAAACATATATTTCGGATATTTCCAAGCACAGTTTTCTCTGTTTTATTATTTGGGTTGAATAATGGTTTGCAATGTGCATCTTTATATGAATTATTTTGTGTAAATATGTCGGAAGAGTACATATAACTCATAAGACACAAGATAAGTGTATTTATTTATCTGCGATCTGCTGCCCTGGCTGGTAGGTTTAAGACGGGAACTTGCTTGATCTTGTTGCAAACCTCGAATATTTAAAGTATTGAAATAGCCGAGAAATCATAAATGTGATAGCCTACAGCTAGATTGAGCCACCACATTCCATTCTTGGAACAACAAATCTTTGGTTACTTTGGAAATGCTATCTAGCTTGGTAGGACTATATAATATAAGCTTATGAAGTGAATGGTTCCTGGTGTATTCTTGGACTGGCCTCTTTACTTTTACCTCTATATTGTCACGCCATGATAACATTCCAATGTCAACATAGTCTGAAGATGTAGCCAACTAGAAACTTTTGGGACTAATTGCTTATGCATTTAAGTTCATAAGGCTATATTGTGACTATCTGTTAACCAGTCATGCATGCATCATACTTATCTTTTGGTTTTTAGTTTACAAACAATTGTAGGCCAAAATCACGGGCTTTAACATATAACACAAGAATCCCATGTCCATGTGACAATCCTGACAAAGTACTGGCGCACAATGGCTGGGATATGCTGTCCTGGTTATTATTTTTCGTTGATCTCTATGGGTAATCTAAAAATATTATACCAAGATCTTGTACAGTTGACATTTATTTCAACCAATCACAGTGTATTATGAAGAATCCGTGTCTATATATAAGACTATGAATTGTGGGATAGCAAAACCCAAAGTAAAGCGATATCACCTATGAAATTATGAGCCGGCAGACACTGTGATAAAAGTGATTCTGATTGGCAGGAGAGTGATATGTGATAGCTTGAAATGTCAATATTACATGACCTTGGTTGATTTCGATGGAAACCGACAAAGAAGTAGTAGACCGTTTAGGATAAGACAGAAATTTAAGGCTGAGAGGTTTCAATAAAACACGATTTTCCCCTAAATTTATAAGTTTAACATTCAGACAGTCATTCTATTACCTGTATGTCATTTAAAAATAATTTGACAAAAGTGTGAATATTTTTTTTTTTGGTACCTGTACCAGTAAATAATTTCTATATTTGATTGTGTTCAATATTTCAGAAACCATTTACAGCCAATAAAGAAGAAGATATATTTTGGAAGAGACAGAAGACATTTATAAATAATAACATGGATGAAATATTTGGAAACCATAAATAGTTTGAGTTTTAAAGAACAACCATAAGAGCTTTGAGGTAAGTCTACTTAAGTTTCTGCATTTGGATAGCTCTTTTAAAAAGTATTAAATTTTCATTACTCCTGGTATCTGACTGTTATTTTTATGGATGCTTTATCAGCTGAAAGAGCTATCCCAATCCTTTTACACAGCTATCTCAGAATCTCTATAATGGATGTATATTGTCAGCATTGAAATTGAATATTTTCAGATTTCGAGAATTTCAAAAGGAACGTACTGGTTCTCCAAAGCATTGCAAAATATTGTCATAGTTAGGTTTCCAAGCCGTTATTATCCTTGATGCAGTCGAGGCTTAAAGACCTGTCTAATTTTCTGCAATAACTATTACATGGTTAACACACAAACAGACCTTCATCTCTCTTATTTGTGTTCAGAAAAGACCCTGGATATTCAAAGCTGACCATAAGTGTACAGATATTTCACATGTATTTGCAAGTGAGTTGTCAAGTGTAGACACAGACATTGAAATCAATAGAGCATTATGTGAGAAATACAAGGTTTAGCTTCTGCAAGCATGAAAATATCAGATTTTCTGATTAATATCTAAATTTTGATACTGATTATTGACAGCTGTTGTTGTTGTATATGACTGATCAGTAGTATTAGTAGGCTCACAATTTCCATGATTTGATATTGATTTGGTACTAGTAAGATAATTGGTTGTTATTTTAGTAGACCATGAATATTTTACATACCTACCTGTTTTATAGTCATCAAGTATTTATTGTTAGGACTAACTCCAGACAACTCTCATTCGTCTAATCTCCTTTTATTTCCTTCTTTTTTACACTTTAAAACTGATAGTCTAGAAGTGTTTGATGTAATGTGATCATTATCAGTGCTGAGCTTTCTATATATTAAGTGCATTGAAATACAAAATTGGTTAGCATATTGTAAGCTTATTCAGAGAAAAATAAAACAGTTGAAATAGGAATTAAACTAGTTATTAGAAAATGGAGAGGGAATAGATCTTGAGTAAAAATCTGTGGCTGTTTGCTTCTTTACTAGTATAATGCATCAGGAGTCAATTTTGCTGAAATAAATGCCTTTATTCTAGCTAGAAATTTGAAGAGATGAAGTCATCAGTAGTACAACTTCTTCCACCAAAATCAACTTCACCAAGAGATGGGTTAACTGGAGGTACGCATGTTCTTTTCTTATCTTCAATAGCTGTCAATACATTACTTTACATTTCAATTAATTGTCATTAGGAAAAAAACAGTTATTTGCCCCTGTATGTTGATTGCTGGCAAAGTTCCTTGAAATTGTAATCTTACAAGTTGTATATGTGAAAGATGCGTGAGAATTCGGTGGATTGTAAGTAATGTGTTTCAGTGGGCTAATGCCATGAAAAGTTCTAAATTTTCAAAGCTTTGTGTTTTGACTCCAATTGATTTCAGAGTGATGCTTTTGATCCTAAATATGCTAAAATTTAAAAAAGATTTTGATACCAATTTGTAGTAAATTAAGATATCAACATTTATAAGCCGGTATATTATGGTGTAGAATTTTGTAACAAGTTTGCTGGGTTTCAATGTTGTTTATTAACACTTTCTCAATATAATAAAAACTGCACGCTTACAAATAAACAAGTTTGCACTGATAAATATAATCTCTTCTTAGTTTTGTTTATTTACATGCAAAAAACATGAACTTTTCCTTTTTTTTACTATCACTCTCTCTGTCCTCATACTTTACCATTACAAATCTTGTGATGTGGTGTTAAAATTTAGTTGAAAAGACATTTTCAATTGATCGTGAGCAGCTCTGATGTGTTATTGTTTGTTTTGGCTTGAAACAAGTATCTTTTTACAAACACTTGCCATTCACAACATCATATTATTGACTAAAGTCTTATTGTTTTCCTACATATTTGTTTTAAACAATTGAAAAAAAAAAGACATACTACAAATTTTCTACACCTGTATCACAAGATTTAGTTTAAATTATAATTTTTATCAACATTTGATTCTAAATGATTCAGGAATAAAACATTTAATATGAATTTTTAATGAAATTTTCACAAGAAATGCTCACTATTATTTTTCAAAGTAGATCAAAATAAAGTCAAGGTAAGCCATTCTGCTTTCTCAAAGTAATTTAGATAGGTTTTTACTTACATTATAATTTCTGGCTATTCAACAATATTAATACAATAACTTTGTCAGATCTCCACATAAAGTCTTAATTCTTCTATATTGAAGGTGAAAAACACTACATCATCTCAAATCAGGTAAAGTATATCATGTTTTGTACGGTGCAATGTGTGTGCCCTCAATATATTAGCAGTGCATTGAATTGGTCCTGGTAATGTTTTGTCTTAATTTTTCAACAGATAAAGTTTCATATTTTAAATGTTTTCTTCTAAAAGTGTTAGTTCTTTAAAATGTAAATCATTTATTATACTAGTAAGTTTCTCAGAATTATATATGAATGTTTTATTATGGAGAGTAAGGTAAATTCCAAAGTCCTTTTTATTATAACAAACATAAATAGGTTATAGTATAATCTAGAATAAATGCTTATAAGATGTTAACAAATAAAGGATCACTTTTAAAAAGGTTTTTGAAATTTCAAATGAAAGGTTAATTGTCATATCATACTTTTTCATTTATGAACTATATTTATGTTAAAAGTTACTCATTAGTTTAATTTTCTGCTTGGGGATGGAATTTGCATGATGTGTTATTTATAGAAATAAAGCAAACTTGTTACAAATAATCATTTTGGCGCCACATTATCACAGGTATTTCTGTCATTTTCGTTATTCAGAGACAAGACCATGTGAGAAAATGTTGGCACCAAATATGATAGTAAGTCAATATTGAAGAAACTTGCCAGCAAACAACAATATCTATATATTTATATTTATTATCACCTGGTCAGGTATTTAGTAATCAAGGTGAACTTGATTTGAAATATTCTTAAATATGTTGGAATGAGGTTATGATTTAATTAATCAAGTTGGTCTTTGTTTCACTCAGCTCATTGTTTGCTTATTATTTCCATCAAACAACAGGTACTACAGCAGTTGTAGCTGAAGTGAAACCCTCTAATAATCAGGTTTATGGCATTGTATTGTTTATTATGTTCATGTTGGAGAGAGAATCATATTTTAACCCTTTCCTACCTATTTTTGTAAGCTCTTGCCACTAACTTGCATCATCTTGGCCATGCAGTTTGTTAGCTCTTTTTTTTTAGTTTTGCTGCACAGCTTCTAAGCTAGTCCCAAATGTCAAGTTTCTTTCTAGAATATTACTGGTATACTCTTTGTAGCTAATGTCAGAATGCTGTTTGGGTTGTTGTATCTTTAGAAATTATCTATCCATAATCCTTCTTCATGCTTTTTTCATTAACCATAAATTTGGTTTGCTAATGTTTCAAAAAATATACTATATTATGAAGTTAGATCAGCTTAATGTAGGCTATTGTTCTTAACAAAGATCAAGTTGTTTGTTTTCTCGAAACTCTGAACTCAAATTTAATTTTTTGTTGGTCGGATTAAACCTTGGATTAGATATGTTTCAACGAAAATTACCAGTCCATTGTTGATCGCTTGCACCAAATAGTTATCTTTTACTTTATCACAAATCACTAAAACTTCATTTCATTTTAGCTTGATTATTTTTCTCAGATTTTTCTGCATAGACGTAATTGAAAACACTCATAGATTTGAAAAATACCAGTTTTGAGATTCTAACAATCATTTCATTTTAGATACTAACTCTAACAAAATATAAACAAATTAAAACTTGAGGGACATAACTCTTAGCATGATCAATATTTTATATTTTTTTATCTTCAAATCTTCAACAACTTTCCCTTTCAATGTATTTTACTTTGATTGTTAAATGTAACCATTGTATGCTATTTATTAAATCATTTTCAATTTCTTTTATAAATTCCTTCTCCAGATGATGATCTTATTTGTAAAGGTCAAAGATTCTAGTTCTCTATCAGATATTGTAATGTTCGCAATGAAACATATATTCCATTCAGACCGATCTGATGATCACAATAAAACTTTTATATGTTCAGAATATTCTGATGATCACAATTAGATTATATATATGTTTAGAATTTTCTGATGATCACATTTCTTATATTTCTGTTAAGAATATTTTGATGATCACAGTGAAATTGATATTTTTGAAGATATTCTGTGATTGCAAATAAAACTGAGGTTATTTTTCAATCAATTATCAGAGCTAACTTATGATTATAATAGAATGAATATTAATGTATGACTCAGTAGTTGTCATATTTCATGCCATTCACTCGAAGCATTACACAAAAGCATAATAATGAATTAATTATAGAGATATTTTCTGTTTCAATGTAGATTGAGGTCATTAACAGCTTCAATTTGCACTTTTCCTGTAATTCTGCCCTCTGTAAATTCCACAAATCTAAAAGAAATCAACTGAAATAGTGTTTTAATTTGGATTTGTAATAATGTGATTTTACCCAAATTAGTATGAAATATCCAATCATTATGAATGAGACACTATTTCCTTGGTTTCTTTTTGGAATTATGGAACTGAAGACGATCAGATGTCTTGGAATTGAGCAAAGGAGACTGTCAATGCCTTTTATCTACAAAAAAAGGGAAGAAAATGTCTTTGATTCATGTTTTTAACAGTTTATATTGTGTGTGTGCTTTTCTTTAAATGATTTTTTTCAATGATTGTAATGGATCAATATCATTACAAAATGAAGCTTGATTTTATGTATAATGTATTCAATGAAAGGGGTAAGGTATTGGTGATGGATTAGTTAGTTTATTAACATCTATAAATCATGAAGAAACTATAACATCCTTCCAATCGAGTACAGTCAGTCAATAGTCAATATACCTATTTGAAATATATTTAAATATTAGTGCACAGCTTGCCAACTATTTATTAATGTCCTTATTTTCCCTCTGATTATTGTCAATGAATGTGGAGGTAGGTTGTGGAAGTTAGCATGGTTTATTACTATTTTACTACTTACTACATCATTAACATACCGTTAGGGTTGGTTGGTATTGGCCATCAGTACATAGTCATTTCATTTCATTTTTTGCGGCATGTCAACTTATGCATATCAAAAGTTTTCTTGTTTATCAAATTTTCATTTGGAATGAATTTCCATAGGTTTCGGTTGCAATTTTTTTTTAACAGCGATATATCTAGATATATTTGGCCGTATTTGAATACCAACCAACCCTACAATAGCGGTCTTAACCCTTTGAACACTGAATGTCCAATATCTTCAGCTCTGTATCTCTGAATCCACCATCTAACCCTTTAAGTAGCAGACCAATATTTCTGTCTTTGAAGAGTCTTCGGCTTCATTTGTGACTCTATATATATATATATATCTGATCAGGGAGTACCTTGTTGTTGAAAGATAAGCTTCTACCTTAATGTTTAGATGAAATTTAACATTTTGAGACCATTCAGAGCTGAAGATGATGCCCTGATAATGTGTGATGACACTTTGTAAGGGCTAATGCAAAGAGTGACGCAATATGTTCAAAGGGTTTCAGTATCTGTCAGGAGCCCAATGAACAAGTAGGAAGTAGGAATCGTTTTTTCTGGCTTTGTTCAAACATTGATACAAATTAGAAGGTTCACACATAATGCATTATCTATAGGAATTGTGCCTCTGAAATCTGAATATACTTAAGCAAAACAATTTGAAACTATAAGGACTTTCTTGCTTCTTAACATGTAAATGATCCTAGCTTTTTAAATTATAGTATATTATATTATATGTAGCATGATTGTTAAATTAACCAAGATAACTTTCTCCACTGCACAATATAGAAACAATTGTTATTTTGTTCACTTAAAGAATTTTTATCACAATATAGTGAAGAGTAAAGATTATTATGATATGATTAACAGTATTCTAATGATTGATGGGCTTTTCTCCAGATTTACTTTTTGGTTAATGCTGGCACCGCAAATACTTTTATGGAGACTTCCCCTAATATGATCTCATTTACAAGACTCGTCATGTTAATTTCTAGAAATTTAGTATGAATCATTTTATGATGTGCAGTATTTGTTAGAAATATGACCTTCAATTGTAGACGTACTGAGTGTTGTGGCTTTTTCAAATATTTTTAGATAATATTTTCTTTAATCATTGGAATCACCCACTGACAACTAATGAATTGATGGAATCAAAAATTGTCTGCATATAAACCCAGACATTGTTCATTAATGCATGTTCTCCTTCTAGTGTAACTTTTATAAGTTTCTATAAACACTTTATTTTTCTATATCACAAAGGGGGATACCTTGCCATCTCAAGAAAAGGTGATTGTTTTGCATTTTTATTATTTTAGACAACTAACATTTCTTTTCCATTCTTCACTTATTTATTCAATATCAAATGTCAATATGGTTAAGATATGCTAATTTATTCAATGACCTATTTGAAAGCTCAAATAACTGATAAGCCTTTGAATAATTTTCTCTATTCATATGAAAATAATTCAATATTTCCTTCTACACTATGTTATCTTTTAAACAAAATGTTAGTTATACATGTATGAAGAGATTTTTATATAAATGAATATTTGAAAAAGAAAGTGTATCCCATACATAGTTATAGTATAGATTGAACTAAAACTCTCCATTATGATATTACAGATTCACTTATTATTCACAAAAATGTAAGTTACTTTCCACTCAATTGGGCCAGTTTCCAATAAAAAAAAAACAATTGAAAGCCAAGTTTTTTAGTACTTTAAAAGGCTGGTTTGTAGCTGTTCTATGTATTAAACAAATTGTTCAGTGTATGAAATAAATGTCTATTTTTCTATTTATTATAAATAGCTGCATGGTAGTTGTGTTTTTTTTTTTTTTTTTTTTTTTTTGGTTTTTTGTTGCACCTCTATTTGTATTTGTAGTTAGACTTGTATTTGTGTCTCATAACACCCTACTCCAAAGCTACATTTTTCTCACTTCTTTTACTTCCAACTATGGCAAACAAATTTAACAAAAAGGAAACCTTAAGCCTAATTGGTAATCAAATCTTTAGAAACCAAATACGAAATGTCTCTTATAGACAATGAATAGCTGACAAATTGCAGAGTGACATCAGATGATTTTGAAGGGTGAACATGACATGCATATTCAAATAGCGTACATTGTTTATGCTTATAAAAATTTGATACCAAATCTCCCATAGTTTGTTTTAAAAGAAGTGAAAAATGGTTTCCTATGTAATTCCAGTAACATTTCAAAACAATTCATAACATACTGATCTATAATACATATCATGACATCTCAACCAAGAAGAAGCAAATTTTTTCAGAATTTTTTTTGTTACACATCTGTTGCCCTTGCATCTTTGTTAAGGTTTTTTTTTGTTTTTCTTCAAAAACTCTCCAATGGTAAACTGTTAAAATTTCTGTAAATATTTTTTCAAAGCCAAATTGAGATGCATTATGTATTATAACAATTTAAAATATATATATATACATCCATTCATTCTAGCCACTCTTTTATTTTCGGCATGTTTTATTTTCAATATTTGTTTGAAAGCAGGATAATAATCTTGAGCTTGTGGTTTGGTAGATATTACTCTAACAGGAATTCAAATATAAAACAACAATGGAACGAAATCTTATCTCATGTTAATATAAACACCTAAATAATGATACAACTTTTTAGTATATAGATTTTATATAAGGAAAAACTGTCAATTTTCCTTAAAAATTTAATGTATTCCTAGTGCACAAAATATTTGAAATATTTCCTCATCGGTAAAGTTTGTGACCTAGATTGGTATTTTATTTGGATTCTTGTTAGTTCAAGGCTATCTGAGAATTAGTGTAAAAGATATAACAAGTACCTTTAGAGGCAGCCTGTTATAGTATGCAGTTCAGTGTATGTACTGCAGTCAATGCTTGCAAAAATTTCCATTGGTTTGATATCATTTTTGTCTGACATTGTTTCTTCTTCCCTTTTAATTTAGCCAAAGGTATGTGTTGATCAAATTATATTGTGTAATTTGTCTTCTGAAGTATTCATTATTATTGGTGTTTTTCAGGAAAACCTAGAACTAGCTCTGGTGATGAAGAAGAAAAAGATGGAAATGAGAAAACTGAACAGGTAAACCAATATATTTTCTAAAAAAAGCTTGTGTAAGTGCTTGCTTGCCAATTTTTAAGTCTGCAATTCTATTGTCTCTGACAATCAGACTATTTCTGTCTACGAAGAAAATATAGTCTGGGACTCTCTATTGAATTTTCTGTTGTGACGCTTACAACTTACATCAAGGGAGATAACTACAATTAAGCAAAGGACTTGTTTACAACAGCAACAAATGACAAGAAATTTTCATAATTATTGATTTATTGATACACACGGAAGCTCTACTTTTAATTGATGTTCACACCAACGTCAACTAATCAGATTCAATAGCCTCTGTAGACAAGGTCAATTAAAAGGCTTTTAAGCAATGGGTTCAGGCCATCTTAAAGGCTATGTTCTGCATGGTGAAGTTTGTTTCGGTTGGAAATCTACAGATTAATTCTTCTATCATAACACAATTTTAATCGTCACACCCTTCATTGGCCATAAGAGGCAGAAGAAATTGGATTCTGAATTCCAGTAACAATGCCTATCTTATATTTTATGCCGTTTTTGTATTTTCCATCAAATCTTAAAAATCTTGTAATTACCATTGTAGATTGAGGGTCCTGGAAATATACCACTTCCACCACAACCACAATTATCTAGTGAAGGTGCTGATGCTATTCCTTTACCACCTATTGATGATGCTGAAGAATTGAAAAATATTCCAATACCAGCCAAGGTAAAAACATCTTTGATCATTTTCCATCCTAGTGAGCTGTATTGTAGGAAATTGTAGGATACCTGGTTATTGGTCCAGCTTTGTAAAGATACCAAAAGTTATACAAATTCTCAAAAAGTAGCTATAAGAAATAGTATCGGAGTGCTCAAATCCCATACAAAGTGTTATTGTGAAATGTGCCGTTATCACAACCTGTATATTACAAATGAGGAATTGTTATGGCTAGATTTGTCGGGCTATCTATTATAATCCTTGGAAAGTTAACATTGTATATAATACATGTAATGTCTTAAGTGCTTAAACCATTAATTTGGATCATATATATTGGTAAAATCAAATGATACCATTAATTATTGTGGTAATTTTAGAAATTAATTAGCCAATTGTGCTTGTTATTTTTAGGTTATATTTACAACAGAGAAGGTACCAGTTAGACCAAAGAGTGGAGAAATAAAGCAGTATGTATATTGAGTAAAATTTGAATTGCCATATTTCAGATTGACTGTCAAGTGGACACTTTTCCATATAGTCCATACATATTTGCCCTTATAGTTGACTCATTTACATGTTATTGACTGCATTGATTCTGTTGACCTAGAAGTTCAAGCCCAACATGTAGAAAGGATAGCACATCTAATACCTCAATTTCTCTTCTTATCATTATTCCATTTTTGACTGAAACAGATTTCATCTGTATATAACATAAAAATCTGTAGTCCAAGGATGAGCATATTCCTTTTGCACTAAGGAAGAATAGTTGAATTGACCTCTGCTGACCTTGCAAATTATCCGTCAATGTATGTCTTCAGCTGTTAATCTCAAACACAATCTTGTCCATACTTTTTAATCAGCTGTTACTATCATTATAGGTTGTTGAAAGAAGATAATGGAAAAGAAAACGATGGTGGTCGAGAATCTGTATCATTTAGCTTCAACAAGAAAGCCACCATGACTGTTGTTCCCACAGCACCATTAAGTGCAGCATTCAGTGCTGAAGACCATTCTAGTGACAAAAAATTAACTATTCCCAATGGACAATTAACAGATGAGTCTGCTAAAAAGTTGGAAGAAAAAAGCATGTTTGACTTTGTGAAAATAATGAACAAGGGTGGAACGAAAGAACTAGATTGGCCAGCTGGTATGATTAAACAAACCATAACTACACCAGTTATTAATTATAGTTGTAATCCCTTATCATTTGATTTTAGTATGCTTTTTAGAATGCCCAGCAAGACTGAAACTAGTGTTAATGTAGCTAATGATGTTCCAATGCCCAATGAGAGCAAGACCAATACAGAATCAGTTCCTCAGGATCATGGAACGATGGAGAATGAAATTGTTCAAGAAGCTGCTAGTGTGATAGAGGAGCTCAAAGATGAAATTGTTCTTCAAGAAACCACAAAGAAAAAGAAACATAAAAGAAAGAAGTCAACTAGGGTAACAGTTAATGAATTAGGAATAGAGGTTGTCACTAAGCATAAAAAACACAGAAAGAAAAAGAAAAAGAAGCATAAACATTCTTTACCATTAGCAGATGGAGAAACAAAATCAAACAAAAAGAAGAAGAAAAGATCTTCCTCTAAAACTGAAAAGGAGGAAGGCAAAGATGTTGAAGCTTCAAAACCAAAGAAACATAAAAGAAGAAAACACAAAAGGAGACATAGTCATGCCAAGAAAGGCGGACATGCAGAAGTGGGAGAAATACCAGATGAAAAAGTTGAAAAGAAAAGACATAAAAGAAAGCATGGCACAGAGGAGAAAGGCGAACATCTCTCTGACAAGGAAGCTGAAGTAAGTCTCTTTAAGAAAAGGAAACGAAAAAGGCATCATGGTCCAGCATCAGGTGGTGATGTTAAAACCTCAGAAGATTTTCCTACAGAAAACCCTGAGAAACCAAACAATTTAACACAATTCAAACAACAGCCTTTATCTAAAAGTCCAGCAAAGGCTAAAACTCCAGTTAACAAACAAACCCCACCAGTGGCTAACAGCACCAAAAGTGTAGACAAGACTCCAGATGGCTCAGTGGCAGTCACAAAGGGTTCTAATTCTAAAAGAAGTCTTGCTTCTGAGGAAATGACTCCTAAGACACAGAAGTCTTTGAATCAAGATAAGGCAACCCCCAAAGCAGAAGACACTTGGAGTAAGATGGAAGGATTGTACGAATCTAAAAAGGAAGTAGGAAATAAAGGTAAATGGGATACTAGCGACAGTGAGGATAATGATGAGTCAAACATCAAAGATTCAGCAAAAGGTGCTAAACAATCAAGACTGTCTCGATCAAGAGAAAAAAGAAGAGGCAGAAAGTCACCCTCCAGTGATTACAGTTACTCTTCAGACACTGAGGAATATAGTAGAAGTAGATCTAGACATAGAACCAGATCACGTTCATATAGTAGAAGCAGTTCAAGAAGTAGATCTCGGTCTTACTATTCTTATGATTCTAGATACAGTAGATCTTCTTCCAGATCAAGATCGCGATCCGATTCTAGATCTCGATCCAGAAGAAAAAATGGTCGAAGATCCTACTCGAGAGGTAGAACTCATTCCTATAGTAGTAGAAACTCCAGCTACTCTAGATCACGGAGTAGATCTTATGAACGTTCCAAGAGGTATTCTAGTTCAAGGTCCAGAAGTAGATCCACAGAAAAATTGAAGAAGTTAGCAGAGAAGAGCACAACAAAAGAAACAGATGTAAATGAGGGAGAAGAAAAAGATGAGGGTGTGGATCCTGGAGAAATTCCTCTTCCTATTGGTGTATCTGAAAATGGAGAGTCCAAGGATGATGATAAGGAAATGGATGATATACCATTACCTCCTACAGCAGAGGAGAAATCATCAGAAGAACCACAAATTCCAAATGTGACTGGAAGCCTGAAAGCAGTTTTTGCACCTCCACCACCACCACCCCCTCCCAAGATAGCAACTGAAACATCTCCTACTACTTCTGAACCACCTCCTAGTCAGTATGAACAGAAATATCCAGATCAAAGTCCAAGAGGTCCGAGAGGTATGATGCGGCCACCAAGAGGTCCGATGCCGTACAACAGAATGATGCCACCACCACACATGAATGGTCCACCTCCTCCTTTCCATGGAGGTAGAATGCCACCTCCGTTCATTGGTCCTCGTATGCCTGATCAATCTAAGTCTCCCCCACCTTTACCACCACCCAGGTCACCTTCACCGCAACCACCACCACCACCAAAGAAACCAGAGGTTGAGCCAATGCAGCCAATATTTATACCACCTGAACAAGCTGAACAGTATAAGAAACTTCAAAAACAAGCTCAGAAACATGCAAAGAAATTACGTCGCCAAGAACAGCAAGAAAGGGGTGAAGAGGTGTCAGAAGAAGAAGAAGAAGAAGAGGAAGAAGACAAGATGGAAACTGATGAGAACCAAATTGAAGCTGAACTGATATCACAAATAGATGAAGAATCTGCTTCTTCGCTTTTAGCATTACCCACTGCACAAAGTCCTATGCTTCAACAACAAACTATATTACTGCCTCAGCAGCTACCAGGACAATTATCTTTCTCACCTTCAGGACAATTGTCTTTAGCTCCAACAGGTCAACTTTCAATTACTCCATCTGGTCAACTTATAGCAGCACAACCACAGATTCTTCTTCCTAATTCATTAGGTGGTGGATTACCAGTTCAAGCTGGAGCTCCTGTTTACGCCTTACCTCAAACCACCCTAGGATCCCATGCTCTTACCAGTCCAGTTTCTTTGTCATCTCCAGCTTTAGGAGGTCATCTTCCTATTCTTTCTCCTTCCTTACAAAATATTGGCCTTGCTCAGTCTCAGTTTGGCTTACCAGGAGCTATGCATGCAATACCTGGACTTCATGGTGGTTTTGCAATGCCTGGTATGCACGGCTTACCTGGTATTCATGGTCTACCAGGACTACATGCCATGCCAGGATTACAAGGCCTTCAGCCATTACCTCAAATGATATCATCCTTACCGTCTCCCCAGGGTCAGGTCATTCTGATCCCTCGATTGCAAAGACCAATTTGATCTCTGTCATGATAATAGTGCTTAAGATTTATCTTGTGATTTTGTACAAAGATTTGTGATAATTTATTTGATTTTAGTTGATTAGAGTCAATACTGAACTCTTTATGCAATGTAGATTTTAATGTTTGTAGACGTTGACACTTAATGTTAGGCTGAATTTATCAAAACATTAAAAAATGGAAAAGTTTTGGTCATGACTATATGTGTTAGTATGAACTAGAAAATAACATATTACTTAAGTAATGAATTCGTATGATGAATGAATTGCCGTTATAGGCTAGACCTTTACTGTATGCTTATTAGTATTTCATTAGAAGACCTTACAGCATTAATATTGCAAACGATCAACCAAATTAAGTAAATGCAAATATCATTGTATGTCCATGACATTTTCAATGTGTTACATAGAGAATATGTATAACCTGTGTTATATGTACAATAATGTAATTTAGTTATATGATTATTTATGACTAATGATCTCCAGTGTGTCAAGTGCCTGTGATTTTGTCATATATATTGTTTGTTAAATAAGCATTATATCTGTATGAAGGCAGATATGAATAAACTAAGCTATAATGTTATTGCATTGGAATTAAAAAAAGGAGAAAGCTCGTGAATGAGTATGCTCTAGTCAAGTTAATTTAAGAAAGGCGGTGACTCAAATATATGTACTTATTTGAGAAATTAGCTTTGAAGGATTTACAAAATTGTTTTTGATTGAGAATTTTAAATCCCTAAAGAATCTGAAGTTGGATTTGAAAAGGGATGCCTACAGCTAAAATTGAACTTTGTTTAGCAAACTATAGAATCCCATCAAATAGTTTGTATATGAATGCTTATCCAAATTTTATTTGTCCATCTAATAGTGGATACATTTTTTGCCTGTCTAAAAGGTTTAACAAATTTTTCTTGCAAGCTTTAAATAATTTGAAAATTTTGTCTGATAATGTAATGAAAAATCGAATATTCAGCAATAATCAATAATGGGTTGTATAGATATTTTTGTTTTAAGAAATAGTTCCATTATACTTCATATATTGTACATTTATATTTTGTGTTTTCTAGACAATTATCACGTTCTAATCATGTGTTTGTTTATGTTAAATCAATAAGCTAAAATAATGTTTGCAAATTGAAACTATTGTTAGCTTTCTTATCTTTTCTGTAATTAATTTATTTTGTAAATATCTTTGATTTTAAACCTGACAAATTAATGTAAAAATGAAATAATTAATTTTATTGTTAAAAAATTGTTACATTGTGTTTCAACTGTGGTATTTTAACCTTCAATACATAATGCCAATATTTCATGCTGATAATTTCATTTTAAGATTTGCTTTCTGAAACAAAATGTCTAGCCGTCTGCTGAACTATTTTGCTTTATTTTCAATTGTTATATTCATACTTAAAGACAAGTTTCATTTCATATGATGGTCACTGATTTTATTAATAGATTCTTTGAGTTTTCTTAAACTAAAATTATTTATTGATTATGTGTCAATATAAGGTGAATTTTTTTATAATTTTACTAAGCAATAATTTGCAGAGAAATTCATCTTATGTTTTGATTAAAGCCTTTGAAAATGAAATCTGCTAGATATTACATAGTAAATTAGGCCTGGTTGAGAAACATTTTATGTATGAAAGTTAGTTTTTAAGAATTTGAAAAGCTTTTTGTACATGGTTTATGTGAAGAGATGTATTTATTATCTTGTTATTACCACACAAGTCACAGTTGACAATAAATCTATTCTTGAAGAAATCTTCTTTTTTCATATGGCCATGTGACATGTACGCCTATTATGCTTGCCCATGACCACTCGTTTTGGACATTGAAAGAATAGAGATTGCAGAAAATATTATATACTATAAAGTTTTTAAGTGGTTGGATATTCAAGACTACATCATTTAAATGGAAATGTAGACCAGGATAGCTAGACTCTTGAACTTTCAATCTGATCTAACAGTAGCTCGGAAAAAAATGATAACCCCCAAAAAGTATTTTTAAACATATGTGGTGATTTCAAGCGCAACAGAGTGCATTGGGTCAAGAATCAGATTAATCAATGTGTGTCCGGTGTCAAGACAGCCCCCCCCCCCCCTCCCCCTTTTTTTTAAATAAAAAAAAATCCCTAACAAAACAGACAGGCTTCGATATAATTTTGTGACTTAATGGATTAATATGAGGAGACATGGTTCTGTTTTGAGACTGGAGTAAACTTCACATTTGCTTGATTATCGTATATATCAGGATAAAATGCTTTTGAGACGTAATCGAATCAGATTTAAAAACCATACTAGGCTTAGATCGGCACTTTCCATTAGTTTATTAAGAACATACATCCATTGTCCGTAAAAGCGTTTACGATTTAAAAGGAAAAGCCATGGTAGGTTGCCATTTACTCTCTCATATGCACATATTCTTGATATTATCACATTCAAAAATTGAAAGGCCTATTAAAGGTTAACATATTTTATACGCAAGCTCTAGTATAGGCATCTAAAAAAACAAAAAAGTATTTGACCCGTGTTTAATACAAAAGAAGAAGTGGATGATTGTATGGATTTCACGTGATGAGATAATGTTCGCTCGTCAATGATGCTTCTTGGCAAAGAAAAAAAGGCCATCGGCACTACTATAGCGAGTTACGTAACATCCCAACATGAATCGTTACGAAACATCTCGATGAAAGGAAGTTGTATATTTCATCAATCGAGTCGGGAATACCTCCGGTTTAGTTATCTTTCGTGTTTTGTGGCAAAACTTTCGCTCAACATAGTAAATAAACCATGGGGGTCTTAATTTCAAGATTTAGGGTGAGTTCCATACTGAATATGATTTTTGGAAAATCGCATCAGAAAACAGCTGACTAACTGCCTCTATTTTGGCACACTCCATTCACTCAACAGTCAATGTGTTGTCAGTTGTCAATGCTGGTAGTAGTAATAGTGGTGTCGAATAGGCCAAACTTCGGTCATTCCACATGGCTTGTCTTACCTTACTGACAAACAGTGACAGTTCCAAATAATAGCAAAGAACTTATTATATGATGTTGTTCTATAAAAAGAAATGAAGGGTATTTGATTTGCAACTCTATTGCAGTTATGACCCATATGTGATACAAAGTAGGCCCTACTGTTACTGTGTTTAGTTGACTTGTCTGGCAATGATTGCGTGCAATAACGTTAACAGTGTTATCACCACTAGAAGTGATGACAATATAAATTATTTGTTAAATAGAGAACTTACAATTGAATTTAGGCATCAAATCTGTTTTCTGCTTTGGATACCCAGGTCGTCTTTTCCAGCTGTTACCAGCTGGCTAAGCAAATGATGTTTGCTTAACTGCATGAGCTTAAGCATTAGGGACATTTTGAGGAAACTGAGTTTTAAGACAGCACAAAGTTGACAGGTTTCCATAGCCAGCCACAAACATACAACATTGTCAGAGACAAAAGTAGTCAAATTTTAGCTTACCGGTAATCTAAACCAGCAAATCTAACATGAATGCTGATAACTAACGGTTATACAGCATGTTTTTTGTAAAAATTTATTTATCTAATCCTGATGCAATTTTTTTTGTTTTAGCGTCAAAAGACAACAATAGAAGTGTTAGAAGATATTGATAAGGTAAATTTTCTTATTGAATTTAACTTGCCAAATTTTGAATCTTCTCATTGAAACTTTGAAAGCCTTAAATAACAATTTGGAAAGTTCTATTTATGTCTTTCAAGCAGATTGGTCTTGGAACCTTTGGAGATGTAAGCTTAAATAGAATAGAAACAGAATAAAGCTTAAACTTTTTACCATCGTAGTCTGGATTAAACAGCTGATTCAAAGTCAGACATGGTGGAGAGACAAAAATAATAAGTAAACTACATACCATGAAGGTTTTGAATATATTTCATTTCTGTTCTGTCAAAAAACTGTACACCACATATCAAGTGATATTCATCATCATTTCAATGGTAGCTGAAGATTTAGCTCACATTATTTAATTGTAGGAAATAGGCACTTTACAGAAATATAGAAGGAAGAATCAAGAGAATCAGAAGAAGTTTATAGCTAGTTTAGTTATGTATTCTATAATACTATATATCATAGTGGCTGTTATATTCTTTATCTTCTATTTTCCTGTCAAATGGAGAGACAGAGTTATACCCTGTAGTTTACTCTTAATCTTTCCTGTTCTGTAAGTTTAATTTTTACAGTACATTTTTTTTATACGCCCACATGGAAATGTGGACGTATATTGCCGTCGCCCCTGTCGGTCCGTCCACATTTATTGTAGAGGCCACAGTTTTTATCTGATCTTGATGAAACTTAGTATGCATGTATATATTGATGAGATCTCTGTCAAGTTCAAAATTGGTAATAATCGGATGAAAGATTTCAGAGTTATTGCCATTGACTTAAAAACGCGTTGAATTTGGCTTGTATGCATGATAAAGGCTAACATTTTTAAACCTATCTTGATGAAACTTAATATGCTTGCAGATATTGATAAGAACTCAGTCAAGTTCGAAATTGGTAATCATCTGATGAATTGCCCTTGACTTAGTAAAAACACGTCAAATTTGGCTTGTGGGCACAATATAAACTAAGTTTTTACCGATTTTGATTAAACTTGGTATGCATGTATATATTGATGAGATCTCAGTCAAGTTTAAATTTGGTCTTGGTATTGCCCTTGACTTAGTAAAAACGCTTCATGTTTGGCATGTAGTCATGATACAGGGTGCAGTTTTTATCTGATCTCAATGAAACTTAGTATGCATGTATAAATTGATGAGATGTCAATTTAAAAATGGTAATAATTGGATGAATGGTTTTGGAGTTATGACCCTTGAATTAATTCAATGCATCTAATTTGGCTTGTAGACCTGATAGAGACTACATTTTTGATCTGATCTTGATGAAACTTGGTATGAGACCATAGTAAAGCTTGAAATTAGTAATTTCAAGAATTTGTTATCATTTCTGACAGCTGATAGTGGGCTTATGTTACCTTGCCTGGCAAGCTATCTTCTTTGTTGTTTGCAAAACTGGTATTTACATTTTGATATGAGGATGTATTATATTATAAATTCTGTATTCTCAAAACTCAGTTAAATCCAGTATTGGATATCACATTTCCTGCATTTGATATCACAACTCCTGCACTTGATATCAAAACTGCTGTATTTGATATCACAGCTTCTGAATTTGATATATAACTTCTGTATTTGATATCACATTTGATATCATTCTTGTATTTGATAGCGCATGACTCTTGTATTTGATATCACAACTCCTGTATATAATATCACAACTCCTGGCCACATATTCTCGATCTTACCTCTAGGATGTCCTAGAATCCATGTTAGAAGATAAGAACCTAGCACATCCTAGAGCTATGTTCCTATTCACACCTAAATTTGAGCAGATTTTGTGGGCTGCTTTAAAGGATACTTAGCTGTTTTGATACTTCCAAGAACCATGTTTTATTTGAGACAGTAACTATAAGCTTATGTGTGAATTAATTTAAACTGGGATTAAAGTTTAAAGCTATAGTTATGAGAAAACATGTCACCGTCAATACATGTATATGCTTGATGCTTTTGAAGTAATTTTCTAACTAATAATAAAAATATACATTGTATTGGGTACTGTTTATTATTCAGTGTATGGTTATTAAAGAAGCTTCTACACTGGCATTATGTTAAAAGAACATCAAATACTGGTAAATATAACTTATATCATACCTAATTAACTAGAACTTTGCCGACATATGTATCAGATAAACAGTCCTCATCAGGATAACTAGTTTCGTAAATAGAGGTTAATTTAGGCGTATGAGCAAAATAATTGTGTAGAATTATAAGTTCACTAAAACAGGATCTGAATTTTTATTTTTACTTAATAAAATGTCATACTGGTTGACCTTCATATAGCTTGATTGTAAGATAATATTATTTATTTCAGATATTGCCCTAGTTGAAATAAGAGAAAAAAAGAAACAAATTGTAAGTGAACCATTTATTATAAAATTGAATGTCAAGTTGTTGCATTTCCCATTTAAACGAAAGGCTACAGATATAATTTAATATATCCATGCCTAAATTCATGTAAAAACCTTTTTTAGATTTAGTGCAGTTGAATGGAAATTCAAATATCTACATTTGCTCTCAATCTCACCATCCATTTAACCAATCATACTTTAGGATTAGTCTCACAATTGAATACCTTTAGCTAAACCGATCAAGGGACACCTTCATAATTTGATCCTTCAAATCCATGTGTTTCCAGAATTATCTGCGTTTATATGTTAAAATGTCATAATATACTATATAGAAAAGACATATATAGAAATAGAAAAAGAAATACCTACAAATCCATCTCTTTAAGATAAAAATAAGAGAATTGTTAAATTATTTGTATAGTTTAGCAAATTTGTGCATATCTGCAGATGATTGAAAACATTCTAAACAAGAGTAAACAAGAGTAGTCTATTTGTTTTTGGAGTAGAATAAATAACAATGGTCAAAATACAAGCTAGATTTATATTATATTTAGTACTATTTAGATATCCTCAAAATTAAGTATACTGCTGTGTTTTTATATTGAATCATAAGGGAATGTTATTAAAGGGATTATAAGAAAGTTTTCTAAAATTCTATGTGTAACAGGGACCGTGATATCATCAATCTGCACCATTCCAATTTTCTTTCAAACGTCTTATAGTTCATGTAATTCCAGAAAAACTAAGCGTTTTATGATGTCATCAATCACAAAATGGTGCAAATTGATGCTATCCGTGTCCCTAAAAATAAATGTAGAAAACCTCTTTAGAATCATTGATGTAATATTTCTCTATTCCATATAGTTAGAAGATGTGATTGAAAATGAAACCTATAAAAAAGCGAGAGAAATTTTAGAAAAGTTTGATCCAGCCAGATTTAAACAACTTGAGGTAAGATAAAATACATATTTTATTTTAACAGTATGAGGCATTCAAACTACAAAGATTTATCTAGATTAATGATGATTAAGATCAGGGAATAGCAAACTTTTCATGAAATTTTTAGATAAGCCTAATGAAATTCAGAATCAGCTGAGTTGCAACCCTTATTCTAAATAGCAAATTAGCACACAACCACCTGGCCTCTATTGTGGATATAGTTGTTTTTTTTTTCTTTTCAAATTTCCCACTTAAAAGTTTATGCTTCAAATTATATTTCGCAGTGGCAGTTCATAATCAGGAACATTTCTGAAAATTGATATGAAAATAGACGAGATTATTGTAATTTTTTTGTATTTATTTGTATAGTTGTCGCTTGTTAAGCAGACTAAGCTTACTCTTTTCGAAACCCCTGATGGTACTTCTCTTTGGAGGAGTCCCCTACTATGCTACCTGATTTTGCCATGCTTTGGATGAGACTTTGATTGACGTCATTGTCTTTCTTGTACAGATTTTATTATTTTAATTTATTTGTATAATTATTACTATTTTATTATGATGACATTTTATTTACAGAAACCAGCATCATCACCAACCTCACCAAAACTTTCAGGTATAGTAATTTAACAGTTATTATTTATCTATTGATGGGAATATTAGCTTAGTGGTTTAAGGGTAATTAGTTTAAGACTCCTACCGAACTTTAGTATTCAAAATAGTTTCATTGGAATAATCATCCCTTTCTTGATGACTGTTGAAAATGAAAAAAAAAAGATCTAGGTCTGCATTTTCATTGATTATTTGCATCCATAGGGGTAGCCTTTTATGTTAATTTATGAAAAGAAATGGGTGCAGTAGCTTCTACAGGAACAATGGATTTTCTCTATTTTAGGGTTTTTAATGTTTTAGTTTAGTTTAATTTTTTTTTTGAGCTGCAGATAAGTTCCATTGAAAAAAAATATTTATTTTAAAGTTAGAGGGGCAGTATGCAAAATTTCCATTATCAAAAACGTGGTAAATTATATCTGAAAATATTAGTGTAGATTTGGTGTTGGGCATCATAAAAACCCAATATTTTAAGTTGAAAGCTTTAGAATACATAAATGACATATTTCTCTACAATTAAGCGTTTCTTTTGCTTAGTTTAAACATATTCTTTTTCTAAAATCTGCACAGTTATTTTCTAACACCCTCTAAATGCATAACAAATTAATGCAAGCCTTGAAATAGTTTTAGAATTAAAAATCTAATGACTGGATATTATTTTTATTAAAAAACCCAAATAAGTCAGGTGACACAATTCTCTAGATTTTGGTGTATAGTTTTCATGAATTTAACCCTTCCAACCCTAGCGGCCGGTATACCGGTCAAACACTAACATAAAATATATACCCGACCAGCCGGTATACCGGCCGTTGCTAAGTGACGTCATACAACGTTAACGTCATACACTTTTACTTTTATTACTTGGAGTTCAGGGTATATGACGTTGTATTTCATTTACACTCAGGGTTCAAAGGGTTAAGCAAAACAATTTTTCGACCAACAAAAAAAAACAACCCAGAATGCCCCTTTAATGTTGACACATGTTGAAAAGACACTTAAATACACTTAGATATTATCCAAGAGGATAATTACTTCTTTAAAAAATGGAACCTATCTATTAGCTCGTTAGATTTATTTCCTGCTTTTTGTTTGTTTTGGTATTTGGAATATTTTCTATCTATTTTCTTACAGCTCCTCTGCAGGCGCCTGGTTCAAGCTCGACTCCAAATTTGCGTCAGAGACAGACACCAATACCAGTCAATAGGCTGATTATCAGACCCCAGACACCAAGTCATACCCCAACACAACTACAGTTCCGACCACGATCCCCACCAATTATACAACGAACACCCTTACAACAACAACACTATAGTCAAAATGGTAGTCAAATGTGGATGAGATATGGTGAATTTTATTTCTGAAATTCAAGTTATAACATATTCAGTCTAATAGAAATAAGACCAAACATTTCTTCCGCTTTTTTTTATTAGCTTTTTTTAATATAGTTACTTAAATCAGGGTCTAAAGACGGCCTTCTTTAACATTCCTCTATATGATGACATCACCAGCCAATCAAATTCCTGCTCTCTTTGCTAGAATTTGTGACCAATCAAAAGGTGTATTCAGTGGCTAATGCTTTATAGAATACACTTTTTGTTTGTGGTACAAAATCCCAGCATTGGAGAGGGCAGGAATTTAATTTGCTGGCAATGTCATCAATGTTCAAGAAGGCTGTCTTTAGACCCTAATTGAAGTGGGTACACATACATCAATAGTAAAAGTTAACAAATAATGGAACGAAAGTTTGGTCTAATTTTGATTAGTCTGTAGCATATTTTGGATATCACTTTTTCTAACAAGCTTCTGCATACATAACAATATGCTGTGGTTCCTTAAAATGTTAAATACTGGCTTGCTATTAACTCTATCAGAGAATTCTACTTAGTTTCTGTGATGAAAGTTGTAGGGGTTGTCAGGGATTTTTTGGAAATTTTGGGTTATTTAGCTCTTTGGTAATGGGTGAATTGTATTTTGAAGAAGCTTTGGTAATGGTTCCTATTTATTTTCTTTTAGATATTAATATTTTCAATTCGCAGACCAGTCTTTTGATAGCTTTTTCCCCAGCAGATTTATGCAATTATTCAGTGATTTTAGAAAGTTCTACTTTTATTACGTTTTAGTCGTGCTTTGATCAAATGATCTTTTGGATTCACAATTTATGCAAACCTATCAAATCTCTTGTTAAAATTGACAGACTGTTCTTGTTTATAGATATCTGTACAATAATTACAAAACTTGGACAGGGCTCATTATGTCCAAACCACACCCCCATTCATAAAACTTCCTCGGGGCCGTAGTAACGCACGTGAGAAAAATTATATATTCATAGATAAATATGGTCAAATCAAACTTGGAAAGAATGTGTTCTAATTTCTTCAAACAGGCGGTGTTGTGTTTTGTTTACATGACCTCATTTCTGTTTAACCGATCTGATTTGCCAGATTTGAATGCCACCAATCTCATTTCCACGCTCCCAAAACGAAGCGTAGTGGGCTTAGTTAAATACGGGTTAATAAGATCATGTCAAAACCTGTATTTGTGATATACGATTTGACAGTCTTTACATTTAAGAAACAGAGAATTTGACTGGTCAATTTTATCAAATTTGAAAATGAGTGAAGCAATCTACAGAAAAAAATATTTTGAGCTGTAATTAATAGAGAAATCTGATATTGTATGCAAATCTCTATAGCTACATATGACATAAATAACTTAAAAATGTTACTAGAAAGTAAATTGTAAAAACCTTCTTTTTTTTTTAGAACGTCCTCCTGGCCCACCGTTACCAAGATCTTTACTACCAAGAGAGAGGTCATCATTTGATAAAGCAGTGGACTATTTATTTGGGGATGGACCACAAAACAGATTTGCTTTAATATGTAGACAGTGTTCATCACATAATGGAATGGCCTTGAAAGAAGAATTTGAATATTTGAGTGAGTTTTTCATCTTATGACCGTGTAAGACTTTTACAGTGGATACAATGCAACAGTGATGATGATCATATGACATGCAACATGCAAATTAACAGTTTTCTAAGGCATAGGTCAGGTTTTTTAACCCAATTTTCCCTGTGAGTGATTCAGAGCGGAGAAACAATCATGTAAAAAGTGTTTAGTCTTTCAGATGGACAATAAAACTGAGGCCCTGTGTGCAACAGGCTGTGCATGTTAAAGATATTGATAGTTGCAATAGGAAAGACTCAATTCCTCATTGAACACTGCTTGGCATTGTTTGTCTTCATAAGCCCATTAGGTGCAGAAAAGTAGGTTTCATTTGTAATGACATAATTTTTAACTAATTGGTCTCTTTTCTTGAAAACAATGATGAATTTCAAACTTTCAATTGTTTGTAGGTTTCCGATGTTGTTATTGTTTTACCTTTAATACTGCAAGAAAACAGAAACCTAATGCTCCTAAATTAGAATTTCCTACACCAGTAATGCAGAGAAAAAAATATTCCCCAGGTAAGAGATTTTTATGATAAGCACAAACTAACTAACAATTTATTCGTGTTATCTCACATTTTTCAGATGGAGACTCAAGATTCAAAATTCAAGGAATTTGGTGTTATCAGATGTTTTAATTTGGGTTTTTTAGTACACACGCTTTTTTATATTTGACAATATAGTTACTACTCAAAAAGTTTTGCACCTTTTTATATGCCAACGTCTCTTTTTGGCAATTTGTATTGTTGTTATCTATGTATGTCTGTCCATCTGTCAGTGAGTCTTATGATGATCCATCATGACTTTTCAAATGAATTTGATTTCGATCAAGTCTATTCCGAGTATCTCAAAAATTAATTAAAGGTTTCAATCTAAATCAAATTTCCTTCAATAGACTTATTAAGTTTTAGCAGGAAATTATTCTGAGGTAAATATTATTAATGGCTTAAACCTCTGTCTGTATTACTACTGTCAGTTTCTGATTATCAGAAGTCCAGTGAATAACTTATCACTCATAATCCCAGTCAACCCAGCTGTAAATGGGTACGGATAATCCGGGAAAGATCAATGCTGAGAGGTTTCTTTCTTCAAATTCTTATTTTTCAATCGAAGAATAACAAAAACACAGGTTTGGGCAATCCAGATATTTTATAAAATATCAATACTACTTGGGCAATACATAATATATCAATGCACAATTCCTCAACAACATACAAATACACTTATTTGATTTACAAACACACAACATAATAGTTAGAAGGGTGGGTGGGTATTATTAAACAGTGTGATCATATGACTGCTGCTAACAAAGGCAATGTAACTGTTAAAACGAAAATAGATCAACACCGTATATAATTTACTGTTATTGTTAAGATTTTGTCTTTTTAAACTAAACAAATTAAAGGTTTTACATTGAATTGTTGTTCATAAATGGAAGTGAAAAATCAATGTCACATGCCAACAGAGATAAGAACCCATGACAACCATTGTTAGACATCACCCAATAAATATGTCAAGATTTTGAAGTCTTCTTTAGTTGACCCATCTTTAACATAGGTAATGATAATAAGAAAGAAAGCATTGCTCAGAGGGTTTTGCTATCTGTTAAAAAGGATTATCTAGAACATATGTGAACATGCAGTCAGTTCTTTCTTTCTCAGACGTCATTGTATCTGTAAAGATGCAAAATAAACCTGAAAAGTAAGAGTGGTGCAAAACTTTTGAGAGTAGTGTATGTTGAAAAATATATCAAGGCAAGTACTTTCAATACCTTAAGCTGTCCATAAATATTTCTATTATTTTATGTTTATCTTTGGGTCTCATATGAATCATGGTTGAGCCTCAGACATCAAATCAACAACCAATTCTGCACACAGAGCTTTCTTGATTGATGCCTATATATTCCAGATGCTTCTAAAAATAATGACTCTTCATCGGAGGAGGAAGAAGATGGCAGTTCTGAAGGTGATAAAAGAGAGGGAGCCACCTCAGAAACACAGAGAAAACATTCAGAGAATGGAAAATCTAACGTGCCAGATTCAACAACCCCAAACACAGAGAAAAAAAGAGAAGTCATACCAGCTGCTTCAAAAGCTTCAAAACCTACAACTGAGAATTTAATTCAAAGAAAATTAGTTAGTAATCCTACACCTAAATCCGAAAGTGTTCATGAAAAGAATGTCAATGGTGTATCAGATCAGGTTCCAAAAGAAAAACCCAAAAATGTCTGAGATGTCTTTTGAAAAAATGTTTTGACATTCACATTTCTTGTTCCTGACCTAAAATTTTGGAACCTTTCAAATAGTCTGAAAAAAATCATTCCAAAATTAGATATAGTTGCCCCGAAATTGAGATTATCCAAGTTTGAAATTAATCCATCATAAGCTTATGTCAGCTTTGAATTTGTCTCAAATCAGGAAATGACACTAATTATGATATTCTAGTCTTATAGTTGATGACTCAAAATTAGCAATACGATTCCAATTCCGAAGATTGCTTTCTGATAAATTCACAGCACATTTTTCTTCCAAATTGAGAAATTTTCAAAGGAAATTGCATGATTGTGATAGTTGTGTTTATGCAGTGTTATTTGGATTTCTTTGAATCATTCTATTCCTTTGTCAAATTTGCATGCACATTCTTCACTGTACTATTTCTGAACCCTTTTTTCGCATGTTCAGATTAGGTTGCGTGGAATTTGAGTTTTGAGGGTTTTTTTCTGATTTCTGATTGCAGTTTGGCTTTTATATTGTTGTCATTGTTTTATACTTTTTTTGAATTTCTGGTTATGTTCAAAACACATCTTGTCGTAGGATTGTAGAAAATCAGCACATGAAACGAAGTAATGTTTTAAGTAGAAAAGGTTGCAAATGCAAAGATTTCAGATTAAAAATTTAAAAAATTCTCATAAAGTTTCAGAACAAATTTCATATTTTCTATTCTGTTACAAATCAAATGCCAAAATTTTGCTCATTATGTAAAGTATTTAATTTATGTTTTGTGTCTTTAATTTATCAAATTTGCCTTTGTATAACCCAATGTATTAGTTACTTAAACTTCTAAGAAGCTACTTGTAATAAGTGGAGAAATTTTGACACTGTTTCAAACATGAAAGCTAGCATGGATTTTAATTTACAAAATTCTATAAGATTTTAAATGAAATGTTTTCTGTTTTCTGCATAAGGGAAATTTTTACCTTCGTGGCATGATCTTACTCTTATTTGAATGTGTAGGGTCGGTAGAACATGACTTATTATCCTACCTGAATTAGAAGATTTTGAATGTCAGCTCCATTGAGTTGTATCACTGGCATAGTGAAACTAAAGCATCTAACTCATAGAACGAATGCACTTCTGTAAGCAGCTCCAGGGTTCAATTTAAACGGCATCGCATCTCATTTGGTATTCAAAATAAATAATAATATTTTCTATGATGAGCCAAAATTAAAGTTACCACAAGGATTTGTGAATCAAATCAAATTGTATATTTTTCGAGATAATTTCCTGCCAAAAATAGAAATATACAGTAACTCTCTGTGGTCTATTGAATCTAAAGAAACCATTGTCATTGGCAAGATTGATTTGAATTCTTCAACTGGAACAATTTAAATTGTTACCAAGTAGTTATGAAATGCGAATCAAAATTGAATATGGTTAACTTAAACTAAAATTTGGTGTTATGAATTGCTAATCAATTATTTCAATCTAGATTAAACCCTGAGCAATGCTTGACTAAGCTTCAATTTGATGCCACTGTCAAATATTCAGGTTTAAAACAGTGTCAAACATCAATATAGTTTTAAACATATCTCACATTATACCATTAAGTTATAATCATTTATCTTCATGTAAATTGTGTGTTGGTCTCAGTCTGTGTTCAAATCAAACTCATATCATTCCATCTATTACCAATCTCATCTAAAATACAGCTCTGGATATTTTATATAAAATAACTCATTCCAGATATGACATTGTTCTTATTATTCAGTTAAATTATGTTACAATAATTCATGTTAAAAGGACAGATTCACTGGCTATTTGACCATCATACTTTAGTCTCAGAAACTGGAATTTTTAAAAATTAAGCTAATCAGTAATAGTGTTCACAGCTCACTGTCCAAATTTGAGCCTTCAAATCCATGCATGTCCAGAATTATGGTTAAAAAGACGACTTGTCTTTTCTTGATACTCTACCATATATAGAAAAGACATAAGGAAAAAATGTGAAATGTGAAACATGCGGTGTTTACTAGGGTGTCAGGGGTGTGGCCAACTGGTGAAGGAAAAGAATTTATTTTGAGTTGAGAGAGCACCTCACATCATCACATGCTTCAAATGTGGATGAAACAAATTTTTGGGGTATGGTAGGTCCACAATGGTGTGAAGGCTGAAATAGGTTAGGAACCACAGTTTTAAAAAAATTATGAGATTTTCTTGCAGTTCTAATAGTCAAGAAGACTTATTTACATAAACAATATCCAAAGCAACCCATGAAAATAGCAAACCATGACCTTTAGTACTACTGATTTAGCATTTGATTGGTTGAATTTGTAAATCTACCTTCTAATAAATTTATTCTGATCACAGTATCTCACTAAGATAAGAAAAAAACAATCTACTGCTGTATTTTATATGAGATTGATGGTGACCTATCAATTGCAAATGTAGACTTAATACAAAAGCTTTATATTTGAAATGTAGAATTAGTTTTTGCAATGAAAGAAGATAAAGATTTTACTCAGGGTAAAAGGATTTTTAATTGACTAATGAACTATAACGAATAAGATATTTGGACTAACTTTGAAATAACAATAGACAATAAAATGTATATTGTAACTTCATAACTATTCAAAAAAAAGAATTCATTTCTTTTGTATGCGCCTCCAGCTGCATATAATTAGCGTTTTAATTTGAGAATTTGAAATTAAACAAAAATTTTCCCTGTTTCAATTTGAATATTATGTTATATCTTCTCAAAAACTGGCATTAAAGACTGTTGTCAATCAAACTTCATAAGATTTTGTGAGAAAAGCTATTGAATGTTTAATATCTAATACCTCTCATATTTATATATCTGTTATAATTTCACTTTGCTACCACTGGATGATTTTGAAATGCCAACTGTGTTCACTACTCTGAAAGTACATTTCCTGATTAATTTGTTTTCTAACTGTCAAGCTTTATAAATCAAATGGTGCTATTCCTTCTATGTTTCTTATACCCATAGCTTTGTTCACATTACAAATTACAAATAATGGCAAATACTTACAGTGTTTGGTTAAATCCAATGAAAGTAACAAAATTTTTTGATGGAGAAAATATGTAAACAAAAAGAAGTTGACAAAAGGTATAATAATGAAGAGCTGGCATTAAGCAAATACAGATCAAGATTAATTTGTTTCATGTTTATTCTGCTCATCATCTACAGTCTGATAAATTTCTTGACACTTTCAGTTGAACTTGTTCTGAGGTCCTCATAATTTCAATTTATAAATGCTTGGTTTGATTAAGAATCAAAATCATACATAGATTTATTGAACAAAGCATGTGATTGGTTGAAAAATCGCTTTTACCAAAGACATTTTGTGAATAACACCAGATCATAAATGGTGAGTGAATTCACTTGCAGAAAAAACATGAAACTTGATCTACAATTTATCAATTTTGAAGATATAGTCATGGATTTCAAAATTTTGATTTGAATTTTGCACCAAAAATTGTCAAAAGTTATGGGTATTCATATGTTTGATGTGCTGTATATTAAAATACAATGTATTATTAATGCTTATTTATTTTTCTATATAATTATATTGTTGTTATTGTATATAAATTATATTCTACAATCTACTGTAAGAGGATATAAGTCTGTACCAGAATAAACACTCCCTAGTCATTTTCCTGACTTTGGTTTGTGTAATTTACATTGGCCTGGGAATTAAATATGCATATCACAGCAGATGGAAGGAAACACAAAACAAAACAAAGCCATATTTTTGCATTGTTGTCTCTTGGAATGTAATATCTGTGAAACATTACAACTTTTTTTGTGAAAGTTATGTTTATTTTGCGTTTTTTCAATGGAGGTACCATCCTTCCGAGACTGGGGATACAATATGGGGCAGACTGACTCAATGGGGGGACAACTGCTGAGGCTGAATTCAAACTTTGGCAACTCTGTGGTGGTGTCATAGTCGCAATTTAGTTTGCCATGGACTATGAGATTATTTAAGTTCTTATTTCGTTCATAGGCAGTCACAAGCCTCTTGGTATATACTTTTCTTGTACACTTTTGTAATGATTTTTTACAATAATTGATGCTTTTGCTGCCGTCTGATTATAAGTTACTACGAATGGGATTATTGAATCCCCGAAAAGTTCAAAAGAAGTGTATGTCTGAAGGTTGAATATTTCATACTGGTGATGTTACTGTACTGCCAAATATTTTCATTCAAAATCATTGCTGCCTGTGGACCTCTATTACCTTGCCTGACAAGCTATCTTTATTGAGATTAATGCTAATGCAATAATCAAATAGTCTTTTAGGTACCTTAAGCCTTTGGGTAAACATAATTTGGGCAAATGTTTATGCATAGTTTAATATTGTTTGAGCATTGTTCACGATTTGACACATACCATTGTCAGTCCTCAAGCCGTGATTGTACAGTTCATGTGTATAGAAGGCACATGGTAATTGCGCTTATAGAAATCGTGCTAGTGTCGGTTCTACTATATTTCACTTAAAATAAACAACAATTCACAAGAAACATTATTTTTTTCATTTCAATGCACAAGATGCTTACATTCATTATGACCTACATATTTCAGATATTTATTTTCAACAGACAGTTTTAACTTAAAATTTCTAAAAAGTTTCATGCTGATTTAAAAGATAGTGGACCACAGCCATATACGCCCATATACGCCCATATATTCGAATGAAACATCCATTTTAAGTTTCATCAAAATCGGTTGAAAACTAAGAGAGTAATAGCTTATTCAAGATTTTCGGGCAAGGGCAATAACTCTGCTTCTAACGGTCGAAAATAGCTCAAATTCGAACTTGATCTTCATTTTATGAATATGTATACACATATGGAATTTCATTTGATTCCATCAAAAAATCTAGTTTTTAAAGCGTTTACAAGCAAATGTCGACGGACAAACCGACAGACCAACAGACGGACGGACAGGGGTGCCAACAATATACGTCCACATAGAGAGATGTGGGCGTATAAAAAGCATTGATTAAACTGTTATAATTTGGAACTTGTGCATGCTTCACTATGGAGTAGCACAAAATATCACCGACTCTTAAATATCCTGAATCTACGTCAACTGAAATTGGAAATAATATGGCAAATATTTCACAATTGAATACTAATTATGCATTTGCATTTTTTTCGAGTTCTAATGCATAACACTTATCTTAATACACCTTTTGATGCACAATTCAAACACAGTTTTAACCTAACAAAGTTCTTGCAAATTAGGGAGCAGTTGTAAATTCTTGAGCAAGAGTTAGCGTTTAAATACATTCATTTCAAATGAGCATCTAAAATTCTTTGTAAAGCAACAAGTTGAGTCATTCATTCTCTAATACTTACAGGGATGTTTTATGCGTATTGGGGACACTGATCAATTTGCACCTTTCTATTTTCAATCAGACATCTGTGGTTCCTGCAATGCCACTAAAACTAAGTGTTTGATGACATGTCTCACAAAATATGCTTGTATCACATAAGGCCCATCGCACTTAGTCATCAAATTGAGATTCCAAGACTCAAAGATGTCTGTGTCCCTGATATGCATAAAAATTGAGAAAACCTCTTTACAATCCCTTTTTCCCATATTCACTCTCTCACTTTCTGAAATATTGACTAGCTAGAATTAAAAGGTTAGATATACATAAATGCTAAAGTTAGTTTCAATCATTACAACCAAAGAAACTTGAGGTAAGTGATAAGGTATTTCACAAACAATCTAAATTCTAAAATAAGGGGTTATTTATAAATAAGAATCAGGACTGTTGATCTGATTGAATTCATCAGTTGTAGGCCTTTTAGGTTTTGCCACTTGACAATAATAATGGAGAATTAAGGAATTCATATCTGCATCAGTGATAAAAATATTTTTATTTTTAGAATTATATTTAGCACCATTTAATATTTAATATTGACCTCTGGTTATTCAAATATCAAAAAGATCATTGAAATTTAGACTAACATTATCACAAAGCTGTTAGAGACTTTTATGTGCAGTTATGATAGCAAAAGAATCTGCATTGCCAGTGTTAAGTTTCATGCTATATCTTTCTTTTATATTCATTTTAAGAAATCAAGATTCCAGCCTTTGATTTTGAACAGAAAGCTGGAATAAGCTCTAATCAGCTAGTAGTGCTGGCATAATATATCAGTGAATCTATGTATCGGGATACATGCCACGATACACATATTGTATCGCAATGTCATGTATTGATACTTGGCATTACCTTTTATTTCAAAAAATAACAGGGATTTTTTTAAGTTGTTATACGATATAACAATATTTTTTGCTGAAATTGTTAGAAACTTTTTATAAGACAGTGGACACTAACCACTTCTATCAACTAAATTACCAAATATCACAGTTATAAAGTTATGAATTAATGTATATTGAAACTTTGAAGATAAAATGTTAATTTTAACCCATACCTCGTATCGCAATTGTATTGTGACCCTTGTATCACGATACATATCGTATCGTGGCATAATTGATCATACCCAGCACTATCAGCTAGTAATGTACATGCTAATACATGACTATATAGCATTCAGACAACAGTCCTGACAGTATTTCAGTTAATAAAATATTATACCCCTTTCGTCAAATACAAAACTAAGACACTAGTTTAAGGTCACAACCATAAAGTAAATCATTTATTCTTTAAGAGACATAAGATGTTGAAAATAGGAATCAGAGTAACTTTGAGCTGCAGACAACACAAAAGCACAGGTTATTTCCCTTTAAAAGCACAGGTTATTTCCCTTGTCATTATATTGAGCTGATTAGCATATTGCTTGTATTTCTTGAGTGTATCTTGTAGCATCAATGAACTAACTATGTGATGACAATAATTGTATGCATTATCCAGGGATATTTCTAAATATGAAATGTCATGTAAGAGTACAGTCAGCTAGTCCATTAGTTCATTAGCTAATTTAGTTGGGTTTTTTTACTGTTAGTTTCGTGAATCAGAATAAATAGTTTGAAATTTCACAAGACATTTGGCTGAAAGTTGTCCTCACTACTATTTTTAAGCTAATATTCTAAATCACATAAAATAATTGCTAAAATATGAATCACTAACTAAACTTCCAGATAGTTCAAAATGCATAAATATCTTGGTCTTAATGCTGATGTCAACATAATGTTAAAATAATCCAAATAAAGTAAAAGTCCTTAGAGGCAAGAGAAAAACAATACAATAAGACTAACTTCTATCATAGATATATAATAATAAACACAAAATAAATATTCTAATACTTTCAATTCAAATAATAAAGCTTAATTAGTTGAAAATTTCAACTCCAAGAATCCACGGTTCAAAATTTACCCATTTTTTGGTCTGTTTTAGATGTAAACCTCCATAAGTTAATTAAGTTTAATTTGAATATTAACGAAACACAACTTCTATTTTTAGCCTATTGTTTTATTTTAGACTGAAAATATCAAAATTTTTCAAGAAAATGACCCTGTTATCTGATTTAGACATTTGAAGAATGACTTCGTTGGTAACTGTTAGCCTTACGACCTTTACGACGAGATTTAGAACCAGGACTGTCTTCAAAGGGAGATTCTTGTATTGTTGGAGAAGTGGGAGTTTCTGATTCAGATTCTGTACGAGTGTTTCTCTTACTAGACTTGACAGGTGAGATAGGCAGAGTAAAAGTGGAGTGACCAGTAGGCGAAGGTAAGTTTTTAAACTTGGAGAAGAATTTTCTAGCACCAGATTTTTTGGAGTGAGATAAGGAGTTGTGATTATTGAAGTTGTCTGGTAAATCTAAGCAAGTGGGACTAGAAGGTTCTGGAGAGGTAGCGTCAACTTCTTCGAAAATGTCATCTGACTCACTGTCAGGCTTCTTTATAAATGCACCAATTTCAACTGCTACAATTGAAGCATGGTCTAACTTTCCTGGAGCTTTAGACATCTTGGCAACGATATCTGAATCTCTTTGCTGGCGTTCAGTAACTGTTAGACGCTTACGGCAATATAGTGAAGGATTTTCGAGAACTTTACGCTTAGTGTCTGTAAGAGTAAGCACATGTTGAACCATAGCTCCACAAAGTTCTTGAGCAGAGCACTGCTCCTCAGTAACAAGTTCATACTCGTGAACCACTCTTTCCATCTCTTTCATAGAATAAACATGCCTTTCCCTTGGTGACATTTCTGGTTTGTCTGGCACATTTCCTTGGGTCAATGCATCAATGTTAATATTAGAGTCTGGTTCTCGAATGGGAAGAGCAATTTTAGTCACAACTGGATCAAAATTGTCTGAAATGCCATCAGTAGTAAGAAACACAATATCCCCATCATTACAAAATGACAGAGAACAAGTTAGATTATGCAGTTCTGGATTAATACCATCTACTGGACCTAATGCTCCTCCTGCATCTCTAATATCACGTTCAGATGAAACATCATGTGATCCAATAGTTACTTCACGTATTCCATGATTATGACTAAAAATATAACCATAACTATCGCCTACATTGACACAGCAGACGGCATATTGGTCTGAATTAGACACAGGACATACAATACAGGCACATATTGTTGTTAGTCCACCTTTTTTCTCTAAAATATATCTGTGGGCTTCATCAAAAGATTCTCGTAATAAAGTTAAAGCATCCTACAAATATGAAAAAGATTTTAGTCTCAGAAATATAAAGCCATATGAATCTATATAAAATGCATCGAATCATTTCAGGTTCTCTCAATGACTACCTACTTGATGTATAATAAGCTTAAAGACTATCCAAAGCCAGTAATTAACAAAGGGTAAAAGAGCTAGAATGGAAAATGAAACTAAACTGCATGAAGTGCTATAAAAGCTGCTATTTATCTGGTTATATTTCTGTAAATTATAGTGGCAATACATTCAAACTTTTTCTGGGTGTTATGCTCTGGACCCAATAGTATGGCCTTTCATACTAATGTTACAATTTAAGGCAGTTTTGCTTAACATACTCCATTTTCTGTTCTGCAAAAATTAATATTAATAGTATACCTGTGTTGATGTCGGTTGATTATTATGTTCAAATATCTGAGAATTGATATAATTCATGCTGCCATAAAGACTACATCTAGCTGCTAGACGAGATTTTTCACCCCAATTGACACCATCAGCTATTACCATTATAGTATTATTCCTCCTAGCACAAATAGAGAAGGCATCTGCTATAGGATCTCCTGGAATGAAAAACACAATGGAATTAGAATTGATCATATTTGAAAATGAAACAGAATTTGATTAAAAAACATTTAATTTGCATAAAGCATGAAGAACCGTAAGTATATAAGAATGGACAACTTTGTAGTAAGGATGAAGAACCATAAGGAAAGATGTGTTTGCAATTTTCAAAAGAATGGATGAGTTTGCAAAATGAAGAGCCCTGAGGCCTAAAGATGGATGAGTAAACAAATTGAGAAACATAAGGAGAGTATGGATAATTTTGCTTTAAGCATGGTGAACCATGAAGATTGATAAGTTTGAAGTATGATGAGGAACCATAAAGATGAAGAACCATAAGGATAAAAAAGTTTGAATTAAGATGAAGGACCATAAGGATGTATAAGTCCGAAGTAAGATGAAGAACCATAAAGATGAAGAACCATAAGGATAAATAAGTTTGAATTAAGATGAAGGACCATAAGGATGTATAAGTTTGAAGTAAGATGAAGAACCATAAAGATGAAGAACCATAAGGATAAATAAGTTTGAATTAAAATGAAGGACCATAAGGATGTATAAGTTTGAAGCAAAATGAAGGACCATAAGGATGTATAAGTTTAAAGTAAGATGAAGAACCTATAAAGATGAAGAACCATAGGATGAATAAGTTTTCAATAAGCATTTTTTAACCACTTGTATACCCTACTGTGACTTTTAATTTTATTTCTTGATGCTGGATAACATTATGTGAATTGCATGGTACGCAACACAAGATAGCTTTCTAGCAAATAAATGCCAAATAAAGTTGCTTGAGAAGTAAGGAAGTACTACCTGACATCTTCTGATTAACAGGATGTTGTTCATATAGTGAGATACAAATACCATAGGCTTGCTGTTCTTTTTTATTCCAACAATCAGCTCCAGCAATAGTCTTAGACACATTTCCATCTAAAAAATAAAGCACAGGTCATCAAAATGATGTCACTTCATCCTTAAGGTTATTGGTTTATCAGTGAACAATGTTAATAATACTATTTCCTCAGTCTCCAGGTTAATGAATAGAAACTATACAAATAGTTGAGATAGTATCACACATTATAAACCTAATATTTCCTGTTTAAATTAGATCAGATTATCTCTTTAAACTGACTTCACTCGTGAAAACACATTAGTCACACAATAATAGAGACAGGAGTGGAGTGCTGTCTTGGCAAAATTTCCCTCATTGCACACTGCATGGTGTTGCCCATCTTCATTAGCCTGATTGGGTGCAAAAAGTAGGACGTAAAACTCTATTCGTCTCAATTTATTTTCAAAGTTTTAATGCCTCAGACGGTGAGTGGGTCAGATATCATCTGATAACCCCTTTACCAATTCAATTTTTCTCAGAACTTTATTCTGGTTCAAAATTTGACAGACTTACTTTTCTCTTGGTTGTCATCTTGTCTAGTTGATGTCAGACCACTGTCTGGACCTGAATAACTAGCTATAATTTCATTATCTAAGGTAGACAGTTGGACTAATGGTAAATCTTCAGGTGTTTCTCCATGAAATACTTCCCCTCCAAACTTTATTTTCTTTTTTCTGAAATAAAAACATTACTTAGGAGATGAACTAAAGGTTATCCTGGTTCATGAAAGTGTTATCAAATTAAAATGCAAATCAGAATGTTTCACTTTGTATTTTTTCTTCAGGTGATTCCACTTGCCATTCATGATCTGAAAAATTTGTTAGGCATCTCATGTTCTATCTCATTCAAAAATCAAGCACTCAAATGCTTTGTTTAATAAATTATTTCTTCATTAATATTATAACTATAACAAAGGGATATTCGTTTCTGACACTGACAGCTTTTTTGATTGTTTAGTATAAATTATGACAACATTTGACGGGATCTTGTCAGATCATGAATTACAAGTGGAGTTACCTGCAGAATAAAACATGAAACGAAACATGTGGATCTGCATTGTAAGCTTAATCAGATAATCTCTTATCCTGCTCCATTGAAATTTTTTCTTGATGGATGAAACCCACTTAAAGGTCAAATTTGTTGAAATCTGATATGTTTTACTCATTCAAAAGCTCAAGACACCTGAATTATTCCAAAAAATTAGATTTAGCATTACACAATGTACTGGCACTTACTCTCTTTCTATTTCACAAGTCATGGCTGCAAATTATCTTTCAACCAAATTACAAGTTTTAGTATAATCATCTACAATTAAAATATTAAAATATCATTTAATAGGCCTGTATAATTACCAATGTTATCTCCACAAATCAATAATGGTAATCAACTGTTTATATAAAACGAGAAATCAGAATAAAAAGTAAATAATGTTCCACAATAAAAGCCTATTCAGTCATTCACTATCTACTCATTCCAGGTGGACTATTTAATAATGTATGGATCCCGTTTTAAGTAATAGCTTCTATTACTATTCTATCACTATTCACTTAGAGAATGCAATTTTCATGAGTTCTGTAACTAAGAACACTACGGTACCACTAATTATTCTGCCAAAGGTTATAATATTCTGATAGGCCTATATCATATATTGATTTGAAAGTTTATATTACTAATAGATAAAATCCAGTCATATTTCCTTATGACTATATCTGCTCTACTAGGCCTAGTTTGTACTTCCTAAGGTACCGTACAGTTTCATTGCAAAAAGCTGTAAGGGCAATATAACTTACCAAGAATAAGTGAGTCATAAAGCATCATCATACAATATTAATCAATGCATCCATGATACTCAACAGCCTTCTCTGACTGAACACATATTGCACATTTCACATTCAACCATTTGCTGATTTAGCCTACTTGTTCTTGATGCCACTAAAACTAATATAAACCTGGCCAGCTGCCAATGAAATATTTCTTGTCAGTTTTCACACAGTTGGAATTATCTATGTATTCCAACTGATCAATTAATAACACAGTTAAGATCGTATTGGCAGTGATGTCACTAGATGAGATCATCGAAACATCACAATCTCTGGTTTGATTACTTGGATTTATGGTTAGTTGGGTTGTTTACGTTATGTCAGCTGTAGGCTATTTCAAATTCCTCTGTTGCACTTACAGACGGGAAATGCCAAAATGGGGCTTTCTCTCCAAAATATTACTCCATTGTTTTACACACTAAAAATCCATACTAAACAAAAGATCAAAAGCAATTCATCGTGGCTGATAGGTTACATTATGTGGCTTATAATGTCAGAATGGAACTATTACAATAAAAGCTAAAAATCGATGACATTTACTGGTTGCACTTGTTTTAAGGAGTTATTATCGAGTCGTTTCGTAACAAATACGAGTGCACTTGACAACTCGAGATGAGGGTTTAGATTTGGTTTGACTCGAGTCACAAGATAAAATTTCAGTTAGTTTTAATGTGTTCTGTCGATTTCTAAAATTATTCAATTTTTATTGTTGCGGTCTTTGAGCTAACTGTTATAACTATATATAAGCTACGTATGGATTTCACTCTACTGTTTCTACTCTAGGCCTACTACTAGCCAAGCCCATGCCTTGTGTTTGTGAGGCATTTGAAACAAATAAGAAACTATCATATGAGTTAATTTTAATTTTGCGAAATAAATTCATTAGTAAATGGATTTATTTTTGCAGCTATTTAACTTATTGCACTCAAGAGTCATGCAAAACCATGTCATGAGTAGATATTATTATCCATTTTTTTTTTTTTTTTTTTAAATTCATAATTAAAAGAAGTCTGGATAGACGAATATAAAAACTGACCAATGAGCAATAAGATGTAGAGGGTAGTTAAAGTAATGAATTGCCCTACAATTGGAAAACTCTTTCGAGCTCACTCTTAATTCTAAGACGGCATTCAGATTCTGTGTTCTATCTTGTTAACAGCCTATTCTCTTATACTCTAAATAAATGAATAAGCCGTGATGAAACTGAAGTGATGATCACAAAAAATGGAATTAATTTGACAGCATTTTGAAAAGAAAACACTTTCATTTTTATGACCTGCATCTGGTGTTTGTCCATGTTTTTCTGTTTTTTGTAATACATATACATATACAATGCTTACAAAGTGATGACCCAAATATTTTCTCTGGGCTTGCAGTCAATGTAATGCACTAGCTTTGAAGTTAAGCGACAGTAATGAACAGCGCTCCACAACATTCAGCTTTACAGAAACTGTCGAAGATTGCCGACTGTGTCAAACTGTCTACCAACATTGATTGATTCAGCATTCGACAATCCTCGGCAGTTTCGCAGAGCTTTTTCACAATAGGCCGTTTTATAGATTCAGCTGTATCTACCGAGAATTGCGTAATAACATGAAATTTAAACCCACGATCGTAAATTTATACATTTAGTCAAAATTATTCTATTGAAATTGATTTATTCTCATGCTGAAATCTAAGATAGATTAAAAACTAATAATTTATGCCGATGGTCAATGCTTCCAGGAGATTATCTGCTAAAACAGCTTCCATATGGCGTGTTCATAGGTATATGTGCTTAAAGGGATTTGAGTATTGAATATATGTAAACATTCTTCTGGAAGTGTATGAAAATCGCACAATTCCTTCAAAAATGTTCCTTTAATATACGTCTAGACGAATATGTCACATTTTCCATCTTGATTATCTAGGATTTTGCACCGATATTTCAAGATTTTCAAGTTCAAAATAATGGAGCTCACCTAAATCTGAATAGTTCATGCTTTGAGGTCTGGGAACTTTACCGTTTATATCAACTACTCAACAGAAAACTTTATAAAGTAGGCCTATATACTTATTATTTTTTGTGTGCTAAAAGCCTTATGTTCTCCTTTTTATAGCCATATCGTGTTTTCTTTTTATTTTATGTTTAGATCTTCCAATCAAAACCATATTACCTAACCAAACCAATCGACTAATAAGCAATTCGACTACCACCCAAAGAGAATACAATGGTCATAACGAGTTGTGGAAGAATGAAGAAGATAAGAGTAGGCCTAGCCTAGCTCAGGCCACACTACCAAGGGACGAGTTTCACATCCAAATGAAATTAAATGAATGGAGTTTTACATCTAACTTTTCCGAACCTTCTGGGCTAATGAAGAGGTCAACGCCATGCAGTGTTTAATGAAGGAAATTATGCCAGGAAAGTGGCTCTTTTTCGATTTCCAACTGTCGAGGGATCATTCATTAACGTGCACAGTTTAGTGTCCCATCCGAACGACGAGCCCTTTTTTTAATGTCAGTCCCTGCATCACAGAAAGGGAAACCGGTTTGAAAAATCCGAAGGTATTATCTCGACATTTGCCGGAACGATGGCCCAGAGAATCTTTTATATCATTAGGCTATTAATAAAGAAAAGTTATTCATTATTAGTTACAGTTTGTTCCGATTTGGAAATTAGACTGGGGTGAGATTTTAACCCAGAAATAGGCCTAATAGAAAAATATTTGATTTATGTAGCATATACATGTTGCTTATTTATTGTTTAACCAACAAATTATCTCGGCATTTACATAATTATCTAAATCCTAATTATATTATTATAAACGTTGTCATTCGATCTAATTCCGTTGTCAATAAGCCATTTATCAATGCCCAATATATTTGCACACTGTAGAATTCTGAAATATAGCACTTTATCAGCTTTATGGGCTACATTCCTATATTATGAAGTGTAGGGATTTAGGAAATTATGTCAAGCGTGAAAATATAAAATACCGGTAGGCCTAAGTCATAAAAACATGCATAGAGGCCTATGGATATGGTTATTGCACAGTGATAACTTTTTTTCCATGCGAATTTCCTAGGCTGTATGGGGTCTATGGCTTGCCTGTAGACCGAGTAATTGTCACAAGTAAAAGACATCCTGTCTTTTTAAAATGTTATTGCATTTTCATAAAATCAAGTGTTTTTAAATCGAAAAGCACGAAATATCCCTCATTTTCGCCCAATGCAAGCAGTAATTTCACAACAAAATATCGACATCATCATGACCTAAAAATAACTTTGTCAGTCATTTCCCGCCCAACAGAGTGCGCCATGTACGTTTATTATGATGGTCTATCGTGAAATGACTCGCCATGTTGGATAAGTTGCAGCCTAAATGAACTCTGAATTACTGCGACTACAGATGCTGATTGACAAATATTGCAACATTTTTGTGAACTTGGTAATTAGCCTTGACTCGCAGTTTTATAATTTTTCACCTGGCGCAGTTCTTATACAGTGAAAATGAGTAGAAAAGTCATTTTCCTTGTTATTGCAAATGGAGGATTGTGGTCGAGATAGCGTGTTCGGGTGGATCACGTGGTCGGCTTTGAGACATTTCTGGTTTTATAATTTGGCGTTTTTCGGAAGACAGTCGAAAACCACTTCTTTAAGTGAGCGAATGTAGTTGGAGGTATTTTGCATATATATAACTGATGTCTGTCATATTTGTAAAATTGTTTTAGCTCTCTTTCTGGAATCGAATCTGGAAGTTTCATCAGATTCCATGTTGGCCTAAGACGAGGTCACGCGAATTATCCATCACAAATGAGTGCGTCCAAAGTCACAGCGAGTGACTGTCATGTTTATTATTGTTTTTGTGGACAGTGGAAGTGCAATTCTGTTTGTTTGATACGTTTGTTAATAGGATTAAGTAATCAGTTCATGAATTAGATGATGTCTACAGCTGCAATGGGATCATTAGAGCCTTCTAATAACAACAGTGTACTGGTAATCATAATTAGGCTACTGAAACTAGGCCTGTATAGTATAATAGTATATAACCTAAAATTTACAGGCCATGTTATTCTTAACCAGATTAAGACCTACCCCTGTTGGATTTGTAGGCCAACCAGCTTGACTGTCACTGTCAGAATAACAAAGAAACAAATCAATTTATGACAGTGTCAGTGTGACACTACTAGTAATAGTATTTTTAAGTGTCCATGTAAATGTTCAAATTACAATTGACATTGTTTAGCCTAGTCAAAATTCAGTGAAATGAACGTCATGCTGGCATTATAGCTTTAAAGAATGTGTTATTTTTATCCTTTCAGGTGTAAAATTTTGACAGCCATCAAAATGATTGTATAATAGGATGACTTAAGATGGTGAAAATAAAAATTTGGACAATTTCAGCGCTCAGTTTAACCAATTTACAGTTTCTGCTTCTAATGGGACACAGCATTCTTTGTGTGCATGTTTCCATTTTGTAAGAGGGTATGTTGCATTGCCATTATGGCTCCAGCACTAACTGATGCAACAGGTCAAGGAAAAATCAAGTTATCTGAACCACAAGTAGAGTTTTCTAAACTTCATTCTGTGAAGGGTGGTCGTCCTTTTAAAGAAGAACGGGAAACTCACCAAGTAGTGTGCAGGGATTTAAATCCGAAAACATATGACCAAAAATCTGTGATCGAATCGTTGACACCTATTTCCAGCTCAAGAATTTTGAAATCGAAGAAACGCATCATTTACAAACCATCAGCAGACCATAATCGTTTTAACAAGTTTAATATTCAAAATAATTCTACTGCCTTTCAACAAGAGTTTATCAAATCAATTGATAATCTCAATAGAATGAATCAACATAGTTCATCAAATGGGGACCAAAAACCTGAAAAATCATCAGAGTCATCTTTTTCATACCAGCCAAGTAGTAGTTTGATAAAGAATACCAACTCCAGTTCTATCCCTGGAAATGAAAAATCTGGGAATTCTTTGAAAAATGGAACTAAAAATGTGGACTTTAAATCATTAGAAATTGACAAGGAAAATAATAAACATAATAGAAATGGGACTTGTTTGTTAACACTTGAAAGTACAGAGATGCCTAATCAAGAGAATTCTATTGAGAACGGCAATGATTCCGTGACGCCTACCAGCCCGAAAGGAGACAGTGTGGTGTCTTCTTTGACAGTGAAAGACCCAGATGAAATTGTTGCTTTAAATGAAAGTGGCAATGGTGGACCATCAACTTCAAACACATGCCCATTTTCTAAGACTTATTCGGAAAGATTAAGTGCTGTTGTGGAAAATTCCAGTGTTATGGATAAAAGACTTGAAGCTTCTGCAACTCAAGTTCAGCTTGAAAAACGTTTAGAATTTTATATGCGACGTGTCCGACGACTGCAAGGGAAAAATATAGAAAAACATGTGAGGAATCAGATTTCTTTGTGTTTAGAACATCAGCAAAAAAACTTACATTCATTAACGAAGTCTATAAGTTCAGGAGACATTTCAAAATTAGAAACAAATCAAGAATTTAATGTGAATGTTTTAAACAAGAACTTGTCTACTGCAGCGCTTGTTAATTTAGTACAGCAGGCTCAGAAACAGGCTCTGAATACAAATTCCTCGGATCATTTAAGTGCTAATACAAGGTTTAAAGAAATGACTTATCTTGTGAATATGGACAAACGAACAAGAAAAGAGTGTAAAAAAGTCTCTGATCTTTTCTCAATGAACTTGAATCATGTACATTCAGCCATGGATTCTGATGCCACAGAGAGTAGTTCTGGTGGTGACAGTGATGAAGAAATTGGTTCACTTCCTCAGAATCGAAAACTACACAGACCATTGTGAGTACCAAATTTAAGTTGTGTTACCTACCCTCGTACTTTGCCTTGTAACTACTGGTACTATATCCATGATCAATTTTACTATGTAAGCCTCTCTGTCTTGACATTACTGCTCTAAGCTGGCTGTCTCTTTGATTAGACACCCTGCTTTATCATTATTCTCAATGTTGAATGGATAAACTGATATTCACATTATATTCATATTGTCGAATTGTGGTCTGTAACTTATGGAAATGGATATCAGTTTTCTCCTTGTCTTTAAATAAGAACAGAGCTGGAAAAAAATGTGTTTGTGAAACTCGTCTTATGGTTCCACTGTTGATATTGGGCTGTTATTATGGCCTAGCAACTGATACTTATTCTTTGTTTACTTTTAGGTGCCGGCAGGCAGAATGGAAATGGAGTTCTGAAAGAGCAGCAATGGCTTCACGGTGGACATGGTTACAAGCTCAAGTTTCAGATTTAGAATATCGTATTCGTCAACAGAGTGATATTTATAAACAAATACGTCATAGTAAAGGCAGTATAGTGCTAGGAGACCCGCCATCTCCACCCAATTTAGCGACTCTCTTGAACAAGGCTTGTCCAGGAAATCATTCAGTTACGCAAGCACCTTCTACAAATGACAAGACAGTAAATTCTCCATGTTATGTTTCAAAAGTGTTATCAAATCTTGATAAACAGGCCAACAAACTAACGCAATCATTAGGAAATGTTTTAACGCCTTGTGCATCAGCACAAAATTCTACTACCACATCCCCATCCAGTCTTGTGAATGGATTAGAAGAATCGCCTACAAAGTCAGAAACTCATAAGTTAAAATCAGAAACAAATAATTCCACTTGTTTTAGCCCAGTCGTAATGAATGACGATACTTCTTGTCAGGCTGCTAGGTGCCGTCCTCTGTGTAGTTATAGAAAACGCAAGTTGTTATGGAACAATAGTGTGAATCAATCATCACGAGCAGCGTCAAGGCTGTCCTCTGTTGACTGTATGTGTTATCCTCCTGTTACACCATGTACTATGTGTGGTGGAAGATCTGATAATAAACAACACATAGATGCTGATACCATGCCATACAATGAACTTGTTTCTCATTTAGATTCCTCATATCATCCTGTTCTGTCTTTCCCTTCTGGTAAGTTGGCATGTGATTTTTTCAAACTACAAAAACTTCTATTGTTAAGATCCCTTCATACGCAGTTGTCTTAAGTAGTGTTGAACTCTGAGTAATGTTTTTTTTTAGGTTCTGTTGGAATGAAATTCTATTTCTAAATTTCTATTTGTTTAATAATGTTAATATATTTTTATTTTGTAGATACTCCATTATATCTGAAATTTGTGTCCTTGTTAAAAACTGGAGATTTGATAAACAAACAAAAGGCTCTTTATAATGATAAAAATAATAAACGGTAAGTATTAGATAATTCTTGCAAAATGAAACTGCGATTAGTTAAGTTGACAAACAACAAATATGAGAACAACTCATAAGGAAAAATGTTGTAATTTTTGAATATATATTTATTCCAGGAAAACCAACAATTTGGGTGATAACAATAGAAAAAAAATTAGGAAAAGTATTGCTGCAGCTATTATTCAGTCTGCAAGTAAGTAGATGACATTTTCACTAATTATTCATTGCCTTTTCAATTTTTAAACTAAAAACTTATAAAGTGTACTGCCATTTTCATTAAAGGTAGAAAACTCTATTTAGTATTTTTATGGTCTTCAAAATCCTATGGTTTCAATAATAGAATTTATCATTGTAAATTTTCCATTCGATTGTTTTCAGAAATACGTAATAAGTATGAAAGTAAGAAACGGTCTGTTGCTTTGAGAAGGAAAATAAAGAAAAATATCAGTTCTGATCTAAAAAGAAAACGAAAACTGGCAATTGGTGAGTTTTATTTCAAGCTTCATTTCTTTGCATGCTTACGACCATATGATATCCTTTCTCTAAGGTGGTTGGACATAGATATGATCAATGCTAAGCTATTACAATCTTCAGCTTATACCTTGACTCTAATAGATCTCATTCTATTGTCACTGAAGTTTCTAAATGCTGTGATTTAATTGGATTGTATATTAGCAAATACAGCCAATCTGAGGCCTATTATAAGCTGAAGGTCATAATAACTGGACATTGTGGAGATAGAATATGTTGAAGTTGACAATTTTGATCTGCCCTGGGAACAGATTACCTTCTACTTGTATCTTAAGTTTTCCATCTTTTTTTTAGCTTCATTGAAGAGGAGAGCATGCAGAGAATCAACAGATGATGGTGGTTCATTAATGAAAGAATTGCGAGCTGATTATTTCAAAAAGAAAAGAGGGGAAAGTGCTTATGATATCAATAATATAGTTATTCCATATAGTATAGCTGCCTCTACTAGAGTAGAAAAATTACAATATAAAGAGATAGCAACTCCTGAGTAAGTAGAACATTGATTTCAGTAATTTGGATTAGTAAGTCTTAAAATAATTTGAGCTTCCATCAACGAAAATGTCTTGGAGAATTTATTCATGATGTGAAGGTAATTAGGGCTGATCTCAAAAGTGTCTTAACCAACAAATCATCCATTGTAAGACCCGCAAAGACTCTTGGATGTAGTTTAACAGTTTTGATTGAAGTGCCTTGGTCAGTCAATTGGTAAAAATGAAAAGGAATTGGTGTCCTGCAACTTTTCTATTATACACAAAGTTGCATGGCAAATCTTGTCATATTACCAATACTAACATTTCATTGTAATGCAAGATAACCCAAGAAGCTTTGACCTAATGCTATTGTTTTCCAGATGGCGAGATATTAGTAATGAACCTTTAGTTGATGATAATAACGAATCAGATTTTGAGGTAATTATTGTTTAGATATGTACTAGTTACTGATAATCTCACTTTTTAATCCTTATTGCAACCAACCCTCTCCTATAGCTTTATTTCATTTCATTGGATTATGGGTTAAGTGCAGATGATCTTTATTGGACTTTACAAAGTAAGATAAGAATCTATTGCCTTCGAGTAGTGTTTATGTTCATGGTTTTGGATCTTGATGTGCATGATATAAACTTGCAATATAACAAACTTGAAGCTATGTTAGTTAGTTAAATGCATGTCATCATATTCAAAATGACTATTGATTTCTCCTCATTCTTGTTAAATCTTAATTAAAATTGTTAAATTGTTCTTCTGTTGCAGGATTTATCAGATGAAGCTATTTTGGCTCGACATCAGAAGAGTGAAGCTGAAGAAAGAAAGAGATTTGCTTCATTCATTCAATATCCAATACGACGTAGATTTAAAACTGATAGTATGGATTCAGTTGGTTCTAAGTTGACAGATCCAACAGCATCACACCCTGAAGAATTCCAAATATCACCTAGCCTAGATGATAGTTTATCATCTGCTCATAGACTTAGTTTTTCATCATCTCATAGACCATCAATTTCTCGACGTGAACACTTGCTAAGCACTGGATCTAGTTTTGATGATACTAGAGATGTGGAGATGCGCGAGGTTGTGGAACCTTGGACAGCCAGATCTTTTCCTATAACAGAAGAGGAATATGCAGATATGACTTCAGTTGAGCAGCACGTTCCAGAGAAGAAGATCTACACAGCATCTGCATCAGTATCATATCCCAACTCTAATTCATCACGAAGGGAAAGTTTGTCAAGTGTAGCCAGTAGTCGTCCTTCTTCACCTAGCACAGTTAGTACTATTTCTAATTCTCTGATGGAGGAGGAAATGGAAGAGGAGATGGAGGAGGAAGAAGTCGAAGATCTGGAAGATGAAGATGCCACAGATGATGATGATCCTAATGATCCTGAATGGAAAGGAACTTCTAAAGATGAAGTCAAAGACTGAAAAAACATAAATTATGCTACATTGGAATCGGAAACTGTGTAGTTGACTGCTATTCACTAATGTCTTTGCCCAGGCATGCAATTTATGTATTAACATGCTTTGTCAAATTTAACACGTCACTATTGTTTAGAATCTAGAACAACCGATTTGAAGTTGTTAAATCAACTGTCATAATATTGTGTTCATGTCGATTACTGAAATTAACTATCTTTATCAGGTTATTATTCATTATGCTTCTTAAATGCTGGGTTCAATTTAGATTGCAAATATGATTAGAAATTTATCACACCAAATTTTGGTTTTAGCTAATTAATTTAAGTTTTGATTCACATTTCTTAAAGATGGGTTTCCTTACTTTTTAGTGTCCAATTAAGCAAAATATTTGATTAATTGGTATTTCTAATGAATTATCATGTAATCTTAATAATATCATGTACTTATTGCATTTAACTACAAGTTTAAACCAATCATAAATGTCTGTGTTTGTACAGTCTGGATAAACAAAAAAAGACTTTTTGACCTTTCTTGATCGGTCACTCATTGAAATTCTGATGGCATTTCTCTTTTAATTTAACTAATTATGTATTAATTATGGACATATGAGACAAACTGGTATTTTTCCAAGTCATAAAACACCTCTACTTTCTATTCATATAAGTATTAGCCATAAGGGAACCCATCTTTGAAACTTTAGTATCAATTTAGTTGTGAACCTTCAAAAAGATCTTGCCAATGACTTTAGTTTCTTGAGTTTATAGAGTTTTCATATATTTTTTAGATTTGGCAAGTAATTCTCACAAAAATATATATGGTTGGATTCACAGATTGTTGTGATAAATATTTAATTTTGGCTAGATATAGGAAATATTGGTTTGCAATAGGTGTCATTTTGAATCGCAAATTGAATCTTGCTCAATTGTATGTTTTGCTTAAGAACAAATGAGCGACCATTGGGGCATTCTGGTTGGGTATTAAGAGCATTTAGATTAATAAAGGCATTCTATATCTACATTTTTAAGGTAGAAGCATTTAGATTAATAAAGGCATTCTACATTTTTAAGATAAAAAGTAAAAAATCTCAAATCTATATTTTCCATATCTTCTATATTCAAGAAAATAAACTGCATCATATAAAATATCCTGAAAATTTATGTTTTCAACTTAACTCCTGCCTGCTTGCTTTAGTTATTTTTATTTTTTTTTTTTTTGTAAAAAGACATTCACATGTTTATAGTGTACAGTACAGATTTTCTTCTGTATTGCAAATATTCTTTTGTATTGTTTGTAGTATATCTGAAAATAATGCAAATGTACAGCAAATTTTCAAGATTTAACATGAGATAAAACTTGCATGCTGCAAGGACTAAGCTTGTATTCGCTATTATCTGGTAAATTTTGTAATTTTTGCTGTATTTGTTACCTCAAGTTTCCTACTAGGAATTTGTAAAATTTACCACTTGATTCTATTCGGGACACATTTGAAAAATCAGTACAGACTAATGCACACTAAGAGAAGAATATACTTTATTTGAATAAAAATGATATCATGTGTGTCCATTATATAATTCTGATTGATTGCCCAACATTGAAACGTCACAACTATTCATATGACTAATGTCATGATCTCCATAAAATTTTTGCAAAAAGTAACGAATGCTATTTACCATCTCAAAAGTGTATTTTCCATATTTCTCAGATGTAACAAATACAGCATTTGTTGATCATTTTCCCTTTACTGTAAAGAAAATAGATTGAAAGGAATTTATTCAAGGCCTTTTGAGCGTATGTAAAAGAAAATCAAGATAAAGAAGTTAAATTTTGTGATGATGTTCTTTGTTTAGTTTCATTGTTAAAAGATAATTTATGCAGCTAATAACAGATATTTTATGTAAATGAATAAGAAATACTGTGTTCTCACATATTCAGATAATATACATATTGAAATTTGTTTCATAATTTTGATTTTTTCTTGAATACCTTTCACGCTTAGAGCCCATTGTGAAAATTTCTGGATGCATTTGTCATGGGAGTGGGTCTTTTGGAAGAATGATGACTAGGCGAGTTATATGATTACTGGGGAGACCTCTAAAGTATTTCATTTACCCAGAAAAATGTAACTGTAAATGAGACTGATTTAAACAATTGGCAGAAATGCGCACAATGTTGATATCAGAGGTTGTGACCTCAGACCCGAGAGTACTTAGACCATAGGTAACCTCCACAAATGGATCAAAAGAGGACATGCCTTAATACCTGTTGTGACTCCAGTATAGATATGAAAGGATTCATAAGATGGCCTTCCTTGTTTGAGTATGAGGAACACTAAATAGCTGCTTATAGCAATACTTTGAAGGAAAGCCCGTTTGTACCTTGTCTATATTATGAATTCCTTTTTTTTGGCAAACAATTAGGCATGAAATCGTAATCATGATTATGGTATTGGCAAAGTCATAATAATTATGTCGGAAAGTAGCTGAGCTAAAGTTGAAATCTTCGGATTAATCCATCAGACGAAAAGATTTTCTAATTCATGAACGCCCATAATTAATATACAAAATTGATCTCCACTATTGAAGAGTTGATTTCCGGTTTGAAGATTATTGTTATTTTTAATGAAAAATTATGAATTACATCCTCATCCTCTTCCCTTGAATATAAGGTAATGTATATAAACTTGATATTTTGGGACAGACCAGAAAAATTCAGTGTAGTGCCTTTCTCCTACTGATAGGAATTTGGTCTTATATCTGCTGGATTTCTTTCAAGCAATCTGCCAAGTGATCAGACAGACACTGTCAGTGAATGTGGGCCAGAATGGATGATTCATCATCACTCACAGGTGGTTGTTTTGGCTTTATCAACTGATGTATTCTACATTAATTGGACAGGCTCAATGTTAGCTATGAAAACTTGAGCCTCTTCCCATGGTCCATGCTAGAAATCCTTGTAATCAAAGAAATGGAGAATAATTTGAAGTTCCATAACAATAATAGGGCGTACAATCCTACATACTAAAATTTTCACATATAGAGAATATTTTGCTGTGAACCAGTTGAGATTCCCATTTTCCCATTTTCAATGAAAAAAATAAAAATCAAAATAACAATCTAGTGTCAAATATGCTATGTAGTGACTTGTAAATTTATATGGAAAATTCATGTTCACTGCGAATTTTGTATGAATCTTTCATATCCTTTGTCTCGTCTTGCATTTTTAGCCTATCTATTTTGTAAAATATTACGCTATTTCCTTTAAAATGGAATAGAATATCATCTAAAAACAAGTTGAAATAGGGCGAAAGTTTCTAACACCATATTCAAGAAAAAAGGGTTTCAAGACATTTTTTAAGGCATTAGATAAATCTTTACACGTTCAATACCAAAACAAAGTTTTGAGAACCTTGATTTGTTTTACATAGAAAGCGGAATGCCCCTTTAAGGTTTGATGATTTAACATAAATGTCCTGTGAAAATGACCCACTGAAATTTATCTTCCTCTCTCTATTACTAGCTGTCATAGGTTGGTAATTTCATCATCCAAAGACAATTTAAGACCCTTGGTACCAGTAGTAGTTTGTGAGTTTACTTCAAAAGTGATTGGAAAACTGTGATTCTGTGAATATTATTGATGATTAGATTACAGGATCTTTGTTTGGGCATTCATCCAAGTAGCATCATCTGAACTAGTGAAATCAATTCAATTATTTATAAATAAGAATTATTGCCAAGACTGTTGATATTAAAATAAATTATCATCCCTATGCAAAATGTCAGTCAGTTGTATTGGTACCAAATTGGTTTAATGTTTGTAAAGGGATTGTAAAGAGGTTTTATAAATTGTTCATGTGTTTCTAATAGCATCAATTTGCACCATTCAAATTGGTTTTCAATCAGAGTCTGTTGTTCCTGCAATTCCACTAAAACTAGTTTATCAGTGTCCCAGATGCACATAAACAATTTAGAACACCTCTTTACAATCTCTTTAACATGAACAGAAATTAATTATTTAAAACTAAACATTTGGCAATAACTTTAGCCTCAAAATGCTTACAATTGTCAATGTTTCTGTTGACCTTTAAGACAATTATCACTTATTATATAATCTTCTGTTCTGTTATAAAACACTTGTTATCTTCATCTTACAATATAAAAAATCAATGGAAACATACTAATGGACTATCATAACAAAACATCATCGCACCATTATTTTGAAATTAGAACTGGATTGTTTGTATTCCATGAACAAGGTTTTAATAATGTCATCTTTTATGTTAGGACAGAAATCTATTTTTCTGCTTTCTCTTTATAAATATATATCTCAGAGTGATTGCTTTACCTGACTGATAAGCTGATAGAGCTCATCTATAGCCATCTGTATCACTTTTAAGAATTGAAATCTGACATATGGTTATAAAAAATAACAAAAATGTGGTAATTTACAACATACCCAAGTGTATTGATTGCTAATGATGTTGTGATATCAATGATATCTGCATTTGAGAATATTATTATGGGCTTAAAATTGTTGGCAGTCTTGTTGAATTGTAGAGAACGGTAAGTTGGATATCAATTATGAGAAGTGCCAGATGACTATAAAAAGCTATTTATATTATAGATATGACAGTATTTTGAAGATGGTTGATATAATATCCAAGGGTTTCTACAAGAGTGTGTCATTGTAAACTAGAGAGAGAGAAAGGATACAGATATTGGTAGTCTTAAGAGAATTGTAAAGAGTCAGAATTAGAATCAGTTGTAAAATCAACATGGCCAGAGAACCTATTTATATCAATGTTTATGACATGGTGAGTTTGTATTTTGGTATAAGGTTTTATAAGAGATACTCTCTGATAGAAGCACTGGCCTAGGTCACAAGTAGGGACTGTGGATTTCAGCATTGGAATACATCAATTTGGTATTTTTGTTCAAATATCTCTCTGTGGTGATGATGGCCCATGTGCTACAGACTGTACATATTATAGATCCCTAAACAGATGGAAATTATGAAGTGTTGGTTAACGTCCTTGTTCTGCCAAAATATACTTCATTCATATTGCGTGATATTTCCTATCCTTATTAGCCCAAACAGGTGCAGATATTTTAAAAAGGTGACTCCCATACTCAGTCACATTTGGTCGTAAAAAACTTGTAACTGCAGGAAATCAAACTATCGTTTTCAACTGAAAATGTACATCTCAAATTTAGATGTCTTTTGAGGATAACAAACAGTTATAGCCACGATATAAAAATGTCATTTAGTCAGTATCAGCCACTTTGACCAAAACTTTAAATGAATGCATAAGGTCTAAAACTGAAGGTCATTGTTGAATTCATCTTCTCAATGTCAAGCTATTACAAATTCCATCTAACACCATGACAGCATTTAGCCACTAGCCACTTTTCTTGTAACACAGTGTTTTGATTGGATTGTATGATGTTAAAAACAGTCCTCTACTAGTAGTTACACATTGAGGTGTGGTTGGGTGTAGGGCTGGGTAAAATGATCGAAATAATTGATTGTCATCGCTTGGATATGATTTCAGTTATTGATTATCAAATTTCATAGTTGATAATATGTCAATGCTACATTTTCTCCACTGTACACACCTGTTAACAAGTAGTAATCTCTTCCACATAGTTTCCCTTCAGCACATAACTTACCCACAATAAACTATAATAACCGATCAAAACAAGAATATACTTCTTTGATGCAAAAATAACCCATGAAATTATGAATTTTGGCATGATTTTAATTTAGTATTTACAGGGTTTCTCAACTAAATTATTTCGATTATTTAATCGATTATTGATTGGTAGTCTGCCATCAATAATCAATCTCAATTTGGTAAAAGATACCCAGCCCTAGTGTATTTACAATCAAATCCGATATTAGAAAGAGATACAAGAAAATTGTCTTATAATGTCAAGGTTAGACAAGACTTCGAAATAATAGCTTGTCATTGTGATGATTGGTTTGAATTTGGACAGTTTGATACAGTTACAATTACTATATAGTAAAAAAAATATTTATTATAGTGTTAAAGGGATTGTAAGGAGTTTTCTAAACAAATTTTATGTGTATCTCAAAATATTCTTTATCACATAAAACCCTTTGTGACAAGTGACATCATAAAACACTTAGTTGTAGTAGAATTGCAGGAACCACAGACGTCTGATTGAAAATTAGAATGATGTATATTGATGATATCAGTGTCCCAGATTACACATACACAATTTAGAAAACCTCTTTACAATCCCTTTAAGACTTATCATCTATTTCTACACGTAATTTATTATAAGTCCTCTTCAAATTAGACATTCTTAAATAAAAGATAAAAATGATTTTTTTTCAAAATGAATTTTAGATGATCTCATTTAGCCCCTACTAATTCTATTGATTTCATAACTATTTTTGCACTGAAAAGCTGATATGAACTGATATAAACTGACATAAGAAGGAAATCAATAAGGATAAAAAAAAATATGTTGTATGACGCAGATGGTAGGAATACTCAGATGTCAGATATCACAGAGTACATTGTAATGTATCAAGATGATATTGAACATAATTTGATATTTCAGTATTGGATCAATGAATATACAGCACCAATAGGACTAGGTGTATTCCATTCTGGTGTGGAAGTTTATGGAATAGGTTTGTATTTATTTATTTATAAGTTTTAAGCTGAACTTTGAACTTTCTAAGCATTTGGTTCTCATTGAAAGTATCTAGTCGATGATATTTATTATGATAAAAGGCAATACATAACAATCTGAGGGAACATTACAAACACAAACATATAGATGAGAGTATGATGATGACAAGATGGCCGTGTTTACGCAACTACTCATTCATGGACTAAGTCAGGCCTGTGCAATCTTTCCGCAACTGCAGGCCACATTTGGGGGATGCGAGTAGGCCGTGGGCCACGTAACCAACCTTCAATAAATTATGGAATTAACAATGAGAAACATGCAGTTTTTTTTTCAAGTCATTTATTCAATAACGTATTTCAATGTACATTGTAAATAACAAACATATTTGACATAAAATTACTATTTGACACGCGGTCAGACCTCGTTAACGATTTGATTGGTTAGATTCATTTTGACGTCATACTTTGATATAACAGCGCGGATATAACTGGTTCCGATATCAGAATAGGCAGCGACAATCTGCGGGCCACACCAGTGACAAGAGCAAAAGAATCATTTCCCTCAAATTTTACATGACGCTGCGGTCCGCACCAAATCATTTTGGTCCACAGGCCTGGACTAAGTCATACTTTCATATCCACTTCCAGTATCTATGCAGAGCTAACATCTTTCTTTATACTAACTTAACTTTCAGTATATAGTCACTAATTCTCATCTGGTGGGACTCTTTCTGCCCCTTACCACTTAGTACCAATGTATTGACCCATGTAGAAATCGCTTGAAAACATATACATTAAGCTTATAAAGTTTGGATCCAATATGTAATAGTTTTCTTTTCATTTGAAAATTTGTTTGTTCTTGTTTTTAACCTGTTTTTGAATATTTTCCTTGAAAAGAATTTAAACAAAAAATTAAGGTCGCAGTTTCACCCTGTCAGTGATGTAGGTCAGAGGGCCTGAAATGAAAAAAAACATCTAGTCTTTCAGTTTGGACAATAAACATAGGCCCCATGTGAAAGTTCAAGCCCTCGAAAGATTAGACTGATCCTGGGAAAAAGCCTCCTCATTGCCTACTGCATAGGCAAAGGAACTCTGTATCTAGTAATATAATTACATTTTCTTCTCATCTTTTTTTACAGAATATGCTTATGGTGGACATCCGTTTCCATTCTCTGGTTTATTTGAAATAGCACCAAAAGACACAGAAGACCTTGGTGATCAGTTTAAATTCAAGTAAGTAAATATGTTTGCAGTTCTCTGTTTTTTATTAGTTTGTTTGGATTAGACTCAGTGTGCCCAGATGAATTGATAAGATCAATCAAATTTAGATGAAACTTATGCTGCAGGCACACAGTTTTTTGATTAAAATCACAAATATGCCTGTGCTTCTTTGACAAGATTATAGCGTTGCCAACAGGATTTTGAACATCAAGTTTGATATTTGTCGGCAATTTTTACCTTGCAGTGATTGTTTTTTTTTTGTGTGACAGCACTCACGATGAGACAAGACTCCAGTGTCATCATCTAAATTGCATGATCATCACTTGATTATCGTCATATGGAAAAAAAAGGTAGACTAGAGATCTTCTGTCTCCTCAAATGCCCACAGGCAATCAGTGTAACTCTTTACAAAACTCTAGTCTCCAATAAAACCACCATATAGTATATTTATGTTGATTGAAGATTGATAGTCATGATTGATATTTTCATAAAATAATTCAAGGTTACAGTCTTTGACTTTGAATAAAAATTAGCTTTTTAGCAACAGAGTTGAGAAGTTTCAATTTCTTAAAGGTGCAGGCACATGATCTGTCTTGGTCGGAGACTTTTGTCGCTGATTACAGTCTTGTCTTGAGTTTTATCAACTGGCACAGGAACATGAGGAGACAAAAAAATTTCTCCAGTCGGTTGTTTTCCCCCTAGTCGATAATCATGTGAGAAACATGCAATTGAAAGGAAAATGAATCTGATTGGATGATGACGGTCTGTCTTGCAGATGATAAAACTATCGGAAACAATTATCAAACTTGTTTAATATCATAAATCCTGTCGGCGACACGATAATCTTATCGTGGAAGCACGGGCACATGCAAGATTTTAGTCAAGATTTGAGTTGTAGACAAAAATCTTTGCCCAAGACCGCGCGTGTGCCCGCACCTTAAGATTTTAAGGAAACTTTACTACACTTTGTTTGTAGATTGACAAGATCTATGATAGTCATATTGCCAATGTTTACACAAAGATAGTTAAGTGAGAGTTCACCATTTAAGCAATAGCAGTTACGGTTGTATATCAGGACAAAAGATGGAAATTTGAATAAAAGCACGTTAGCTCGTTTATGATTAATTTACTATAGGGAAGCAGTTTATTGCTTATATTTGCTTTCTAAGGCATGCCAACTGGTTCAGCGCTCGCCATTTCCGACATGATTGTTTACATTGGAGACCGCCTATTTGAGACAATGAAATCAATAAATAACGACATCATTGATTAAAATTACTACTCTCAATGTTTTGGTGATGAGGCAATGGCGTTATTGTGATATATATACCACAAACATTTGCATTAGTTGAATGGGAAAAATAATAGCTAATGTAAATATATTGGTTTATAAATTGTTTTCTATTGTAGGGAATCGATATTAATTGGTTATACAGATTTTGCACAGGAAGATATAAAGAATTATGTTGAACAGCTGGGGAAGGAATACCGTGGTGATCATTATCATTTACTAAACAAAAATTGTAATCATTTTTCTGATGCATTAGTTCAGGTTAGTACAAGCTCATAATACTTATCAATAAATAACAATCAGCAGTGGCTCAGTGAGCTAGGCGCTTGTGCTCGAACCTGAAGGTCAAGGATTCAATCCCAGCATAGGTCGAGATAGTACATTCGGAATTTTCAAGCCAGTTAGCCCATCAGTAATGCGGGTTGGAGGGGTTGGCATGGAAAAAAGTGTTCATAAACTTATGATCTACTACCTTCCCATGGTAAGGATGCCTGCTGTCATTGCAAAATTTCCCTCATTGCACACTGCATGGATTTGTCTATTTTAGTCACTAGCAACTGATCCCTACAGAAGTGTCCTTGGTTTTTATTTTTCCATTTCTACTTTCAGTTTATGTGTGGTAAAGAACTACCAAGCTGGGTTAACAGATTAGCATATATGAGTTCCTGTATTCCATTTATAGAAAAAGCTATTCCTAAAGAATGGCTTACACCAAATGCTCTCAAGGCAGCTATGCCCTCGCCAACCGAAGAATCTGCACCCCAAGCAAGAAGCAGTAAGAGATGACAGGCTTTATGAATTGTTATTCCTTGTTGGTTTTTTTTTTTGGAAGAGATTCTAGAATTTTTTAGTGAATCTCTGTTGTTTACTTTACTTAATACAAGATAACATTTTATAAATTTCTTATATTGGTATCTGGTATACGTGCAATATAAACTAGTCTGAGGAAACAATCATGGAGAGTGTAATTTTTTGTCAAATGTATGAATTCTTTTGAATTCAAATGCAATATTTTAGAAATGTCAAACTTCGGCTGTTTTTGCACCAGCAGATCAAGCTGTCATCAACTATGCCATCTTCACAATGTCAAGCTATTACAAACTTTATACTTATACCTTGACTGCAATAGACAACTTCCTTTTATCATGGAGGTTTGTAAATGAAACGATTTGATTGGATTGTCACTGAAAAATACAGACAATCAGAGGCCTCAACAGAAAGTCTGTGAGCATAATGTTTACCGCCTTTTCTGTCGAGGGCACACATGCATACAATCCAATCAAATTGCTTCATCCTGTGATACAAGAATAGTGGCTATTGCAGTCAAGGTATGAAGTTCATAATAGCTTAACATGGTGAAAATGCAACTTCTCACGCAAACAATAGTCATTCGTCCATGATACATTGTTTTTCGTGAGTGCCAATATATTTTGAGTTTTTTTATCCATGAAAAATGTCTCTGCAAATCAAATTTTTGTTGTTCCAATGTGGAAAATGAAAACTTTGTTTGCATCATTGTTGAGCGGATTGTAAAGAGGTTTTCTAAAAAATGTAAATGCATTTGGAAAACTGATAGGATCAATTTGCACCATTCAAATTTTCAATCAGACGTCTTAAGTTATTGACAACATCACTAATTGCAAACGACCTTATGTGCTAAAGCATATTTTGCGATTAGTGACGACATTAAACACTTAGTTTTAGTGGAATTGCAGGAACCACAGACGTCTGATTGAAAATTGGAATGGTGCTCAGTGTCTCCAATACAAATAGAATAATTAGAAAACGTCTTTACAATCCCTTTAAGGCATTAACTTATATTCACCAACAGGGTAAGAAAATATCAGTATTAAACATTCTTTTTGTGAAACTATTGTGAACAAATATTTTTGAAAGAAATCCAATTTCTGGAATATTAGAAATAAATTAACACGGAAAGAAAAATTACAAATTAATTATTTTGATTATGATATGTTGATTTTATGATTAGTACTGTATAGAAATGTAGGGAAGGGTATAATATTAATATTTATAAATATGTGGACCATTGCTCTCATAACATTGACGTCTGCTGTTTTTCTCTGCTGACTTGATCCTGCTGTAAACAGACGGTTGTTAAAGGGATTTTCAAGAGGTTTTCTAAAATTTTTATGTATCTGAGACAATGATAGCATCAATTTGCACCATTCCACTTTTCAATCAAACATGCGTGGTTCCTGCAATTCTACTAAAAGTGTTTTATGATGTCACCCCTGCAAAGGTCTCTTGTGATACAAGCAAATTTTGCGGGTGTGACACTTAGTTTTAGTGGAATTGCAGAAACCACAGACTTATGATTCAAAATTGGAATGGTGCAAATTTATGCTATGAGTGTCCCTGATACGCATAAAAAATTTTGAAAATCTCTGTTCAATCCCTTTCAGATACAGATAATGTATAGACAAGCATAGATTTTTATTCACATCTGGAGATGAATCAAAATATAGACTAGAGTAGTGTATAATACAATAAGTAGAATAAATAATAATTGATGCTGTGCAAGCTAGGCATATATTGTGTTGATTATTATTAATATAGATCCATAAAAGCAAAATAATTCCAGTAACCAAAAATCTCGTCCAAAGCATGAAATGATTAACACAGTAGTGAACTACTAAAACAATAAGTACCATCAGGCGTTTTCAAAAGAGTAAGCATGGTCTGCTTTAGTGCCTGACAGCCATCGCTATGAAAATAAGGAGGACTACTTGTGTTTATGTTTTGATTTGTCCTAAATGTGCATAAATATCTTACTTAGTAGAAACTGTACAAAATATATATGAAACTATTGTTAAAGGGACAGGTAGGCCCAATCATACTTTAGCCTCAGAAACGGAAATTTTTTAAGCTAAGCCAATCAGTTACAGTGTGCAAAGCTCACCGCCAAAATTTGAGCCTTCAAATCCATGTGTGTCCAGAATTATCCACCATTGAATGTTAAAATGACGACTCGTCAATTTTTAGATACTCTATAGAAATAGTGAGTAAATTTCCAAGTTTGTAGTATTTTTAAAGGAATTATGTGATTTTCGTACATTTTAGAACTTTTGAAGACTTCTTACATGTCTTCGAGGTTAAAATCAACCACCCAAAATGGCGCATCTGTCTCTTTAAAAAGTGACCATTATTCTTACATTTTGAAATTTATTTTAAGTTGTTAGATCATGACATTGTAGTCATAGAATCTAGAAATATTTTTTCTGAAAAACTCATTATGTACTGTAACTTATTCCCCTGGAACATCACAGAAAGATTTATTTACTCTGATTACAGTCAGATTTTGTGAATTGGCCCAGGGGGATATATTACACCAAAAGTTGAATTGGAAACAAAACTATGTTTTTTAAGTCAAATATTAAAATTTCTATTTTATTTCACTTTTAAAATGGTCTTTGTTCATTTCATTTCTTTAGTTCAATATATTATGTATTTGTATATTTTTGTAATGTCATTTCATTGTATATATTAAAGATTAGTAAGGTCTAAATTATCTGTTAATTTCAGAAAAAAATCTAATTTGCTAAAGATTATTCATAGCTTCTTGCATTGCATTTGAAGGGATTCAAAGGAGGTTTTTTTTAGCTTTTATATGTCCATCTTCACAATGTCAATGATATTACAAACTGTCTCATACCTTGACTGCAATAGCCAACTTTTGTGTATCACAGAAGTTTGTAAATGCAGTGATTTGGTTGGATTGTAGAGCTGTTGGCAGAAAGTCTGTAAACAATAAGCCATAATGCTTACAGTTTGTCTGTCGAGGGCTTGATTGATATCCAATGTAATCGCTGCATTCTGTGATACAAGAAAAGTGGCTATTGCAGTCAAGGTATAAGACAAAGCTTGACATTGTTCAAATGATATGTGAATGGAGAACACTTTCTTTTTGTACCATTCAAATTTGACGTCCAATGCCTGTGGTTCCCATAATTCTAGAAAAACTTGACCAGAGTATGATGTCATTAAGAATATCATTCAGGGTTTTTGTTGTTATTCTGTTGACATAATGTGGTTTAATATTTCTGGTATTGCATGAACTACAGGAAATTTAAATGGTTCAAATAAATTAAAGATTGATCTGTCGCATATTATCCAGACCTATTTACAGACTGGGTTGAATGGAATAACGGTGAAAGATCATCAGCTTACAGACTTTAGCATAATGACAGAGATTAGAACCCATAACTACGGGTTTTTTTCTGCGCCGTTATTCTTAAACTCTGACAGAGCTGCCGTCTGTTCTTAAGCTAATAGTGTACCCAATTCACATAAAAAGGATAGAAAACCTCAGATGACAACCAATTTACCTGGAGGTCACCGCAACGTCTTTCAGAAATCTTGTAGGTTGCAACAACATCGATGCAAGGTCTTCAAGAGGTCTCAGACAAATTGAGAAGGCGTGTCTTCTCTTGCAGACAAAATTAGTCTCTGCGGCGTCTCCAGCAGTTAGGATGACGTTTTAGAGACGTATTGGAGTCGTGCAATCAGCAGAGACTCCAGTCGCAACTAGTCTCCAGACCATTGAGATTGGCCCTTAAATTTAAACAAAGCCAGGATATGTATGTTATCTTGCCTGTTAAAGGTATTCTTTAAGCAAAGAAAAACGAAATAATCATTTGTAACCTTTCATCTATTGTAACTGAAACAAATTGTAGATTTGCATTTTTTTTAAACTGGATGCAGCTAGCTAATTTTAACTTTCAGGTTATATATTGAAATTATTAGAGATCTATACCTCTATAATCATTGCAGCTCCAAAACAGTTTTTGTCTAACTGGTACATATAGGGCCTACACTGTCTCTTAATATTTTATTTTGTATTTACATGTATAATTCTATTTAGTCTTAGTTTACTGATATACATTAACCTGTTTTCCTATATATAGATATATCAGGTGTACCAAAAAAAACATCCTTAAGTTAGACAGGTAATATCTCAGCTGTTGGTAAACCAATCTCTTTCAACATTCTCACAGATATACTTCAAGATGTCGTTGTCCAAACCTGAAGATATGAAAGTGATCAGATAAAAATTGTACAAGTACTGCCTTGAACAAAATAGCATGTCATAAAATATAATATCAAGGCAACTTATTTCATCCTGTTATGTGCCCTCCATCTTCTTTGCCTACCAATCGCAACCTTTTTTCCATCTTGTCGAACTTTGGGATGTTTTTTTTTGAGACACCCACTATATAGGCATATTGGTACATATTGTATTTTGTACTCAAAGTAACTTTATTTACACTTTATCAGATTTTATTAGCATATTTAATATTGTGAGGTTCTATAGCACAGTTGGTTAGAGAGTTGTTTTTTAACATGATGTCATTTGTCATACTTTAAGGAAATGGCAGCTGTGGGTTCCGATCTCGATCAGCTTGTAAAAGTCCAGTGATCTTGATTAAGTTATCTTTACTAATTATTCCAGTCGACTCAGCTGTAAATGAGTATAATAATTAGAATAATGTCCAAGAGGTTTGGTCATGGTTCAGCTGGTAGAAGGGTTGTAAAATGTTTGTTTGTTTCTTTATTTCCATACTTACTAAAACATGAAACGATCAGAAAACGACCAACGAAAACTTGAAATGTCCAGGAATGACAGAAAACAACTAACAACAAACAAACTATTTTGTAATGAATTCTAAGCATGTTAATCAGTCTGAACATATATTTCATTTTTAAAAAATGTACATTTCAGAAAAGTGCACTTTATTGACCTATTATTTCATATTTCCCAGTTGAGTGCATTTTATCTGTGATATAACGCACATAACCTACACCTAATTCTGT